CCTCTTCTTCTGTCTACCCCTGCATAATCGGAGTGGCAAATTGACTTTATTTCGAATCGATTTCGCGCTTACATTAGCTATGCCAAAAAAAAAATACAAACAATCAGAAACAAGAACAGTTTCTAGAACCTCTGCAGAATTGGAAAAGACGAGACGTATCATATTTTTGACACAACATATTCGCAGTCCGTAGTAGTCTGCAGTGTAATACGAAAACGTTGTATGTAGTACAAGTACCCTGAGCGTATTGATACTAGCTCATAGCAGCCCGAAATAACACCTTAGTTCTTCCTAATTTTGAGTTGACGCCGAGAATGATCCTCGATGGCCACGCGAGTGGCAAATTCATGTGTTGTAAGGGTAATCGATTATTACATGTTCGTTCGCCCTGTGGATCAAAAGCAAAAAAGAAAAAAAGTTATAAGAAAAATTTGTTTAAATTTAGTTTTTTAAAAATTTAAGCCAAATTTTGTGGCAGTTCTCGAATAGTCCTCAGCTACCCTAGCCTTTCAGGTCAGATGGTCTTTCGTACCGAACATTGAATATAACATAAACTGAAGAATAATATACGTAGTCGGCTCTTACCAAACTCTATTACTGCCGCGATGGGCTCGCTCCACTTAGCTCCCCTTTTCTCGCGCGGTTGCAAACGGAAAAGAATTGAACATATTTCCGTTTTGGGAAAGCACTTACTTTTCTTTTCTGCTGGCCATTTAGAAGCTAGTAGGAGTTTTGTAAGCAGGACCTTTCGTGAATAAGTAAACGACGCCCGAATCTCCACCGAAGCCGTTGAAGTGTGAAACTTGACTACCGAGTACCGACTACGTACGTAGTCTCCGTTGTTACTCCGGAGATCCCCCTTGATGCAGACTGAATATCTACTAGGTCTTATCCGCCTTATCTTCAGGATTTCTTAGATACGTATGTACGTAAGACGGATAGGGCGAAGTTAAACGTACCCACGGAATCGAAAAACTCAAGTCTTCGTTTCAGACATTCTTTTCCAAGGGCCACAGTTAATAATCATGAGTAATCATCAGGTAACTGTGGCGGTGTATTGCTCAGCAATCTGCTGATCTCTTGAAATCGATCGTACCGTACGTATCTCGGAACATCTATGACGACACGGATTCAAAGACTTGATCAGCATTAGTCCTCTTAAGGAAGTCGATGAGTGTTTCATGATTCGGACTAAAATGTGGTTAACCGCCCATTGCCTATTTGCGGCTGCCCATCAGTACGGAGGACCTCGGCCGGTTCTTTGAAGGACGGATTCGTACGGAATACGCGATAACTCGATATTGATAGAAAACCAATCCAGGGCGTATTGATGCACTCGGCTCAATGGCCGAATACGTAACTTACTGATAGCGCGCACATAATCTGTGGCTTGAACTGGGTTGAGTTAGTCAAATACTTTAGATTCTTTAGTTTGTTCTCCTAGCTCACAAATTAGTCAACCTCGAACTGCTCTGTCAAACAACAGATGATCCTGCTGCGAGCTTAGTCCCGTATATAAAGTTTCAATTAAAGCTTGCCGCTTGGCGCTTGAAGGGGAAAAGCCGCTAACGGGATTCGGGAAATACTCACTTTCTCTTTTCAAATTTCCAGTCTTACTGAGAAATGCTGCCTAATCCTTCTTCGTGATGGATTTCGTCTAGAGGAATTAGCGGATTAAATGACATCATTTATGATTGGCCAAAAAGATCGAAGGATCTCACGTGGTGGATCGTAGAATAGTGTGAATATCCATCCCTTGATGGAGTTGATGTTATACCTGAATGCTCTCAGAACAACAATCAATGGACCTATCCACAGGTCATACCGCATACCTAGGAAACCATATTGCGAAATGTCGTTGAGCTAGATATCAACCAATGGATAGCTTCCAGTACGTCCCTCCGCAAATCGACAAATTAGTCTAACGATCATGCATGCATGGAGACTCTAGTTCATGGCGCACCGCTAATCAGAACGAATACACCGAATAATCGACATTTCTTAACTTTTTAAGCTTTGTGAAGAAATATCGGTGAAACTTAGCCGGTTGACAAATCTGCAAATAACAGGGAAGCAGATGCAACTTTATCTTGAACGGTGTAGTACTAGATCTAGCTAGGCTCTGGATTCTGCGTTTACGTATATATGTATGTAGTCTGACTGTCTGCGCGTTCAAACTCCGTGGGTTGTGCGGCATTACCATTCTCCGAATTTAGACTGTAGTCAGTTGATCATCGTTAGTGAATCCTACACCGTTGATGAATTTACAAGCAAATTAATTGCGGAGTAGGGTAGTGCTCAAAACTTGGTGGTACGGGATGCTTGCCCGCAAGCCCTAATTTAACCTCTTGATAGTCCCAATTCTCCCTGTATCAAAGGCACTTGGCCATCGAGTCTTACGATCGAGTCATGAGACAAATTAGGATTAGATGAATTTTAATAAATGATACATCGTTACTACGTAACATTAGTACATACATACGTAGTACTGGTAGTAAGATGTACTAATATACTTCCCAATCGAGCTGGGACAAAACCCTGTCGATCATCCGCTCGACCCACGATGCCCAAATATTCAGGCTCCATGTCGTGCATGGATCGTTGATGCTCTACTGTTTGGAGAGACTCCGTGACAAATTATTCAGATACTGTAATTGATAGTCATAGCATAATTGGGGATGATATTGACATGCCTACGATTGTGGAGAGCAGCAGAGGATACGTACTGGCCAGGTCTGTAATGGCTTTTACCGAAATAGGAAGGTAAAATGCAACGAGATGTTGACATTCTTCACGGTGTTTCAGGAGGACGGGAACTTTGTCAAAACATGTGTCAACAATCATGTATTCACATCTGAAAAAATCATGAGCCTCTCTCGTAGCTATTGTAAATTTCCACCCTCTCAGACTGCCTCCCGTTCCGTCTTCCCGAACTGCCGCTCAATCCCTGCTGGACGTTGCATGACCTACACAGCTCTGCCACATGATATCTGCACGCCAAGACCTCCATTTACCCTAACCAAGAACCCTGCCAAACAGCAGTGCTTGCACACGCTCTCAAGTGGTCTTTTTGAAGGGATTGGTCACATAGCAATGTGGCCATCACATTGCGGAACAGCAGTACACATGACTGATGGGCGAGGCCTTGCTATCACGATGCTTCAACCCCTATCTACTGTGCCGCAAATAGTTAGGGAACATCCAAGGTCCCCATCACGTCTTGTATATACAACATACAAACCCTGAAACGGTTGTATACATCCATCAATGCTGGTCTCTGCTAGTCCGATACTTAAAATGCGCCAAAGGGGGTATACCTTCATGGGTCCATGTTAAACCGTTAAGATTATTAGTAGCACGAATGTTAGGGTATGCATATACGGAGGCACGTATATGCATGCAAGGCAGCGATTGTGCCGTGTTAACCTGGAAATTTACCATTCTTCGATTTTACAGTTACATATATGTATACATATGTAAATATGTACCTAGGTATCTGTATGGTATCTGTTTGATCGGTACCTGTATATTCTCAAAATGGAATTCGTATATCGATATTATACTGGTGTTATGACATGAGTCATAGATATATTGTCAAATATATCCTAGTAAAATTGGAGGTCTAGATTCCGAATGACTCGCTCAATAATGATCAGCAACCTCGGACTGGGGATATGACCTTAGTTCAAATGTTGTAGGAGCACTAACCCTAACTGATGAATTTGACAGGCCCGTAATCAACCACATCAGCAGTGCAATTCCCTCTTCTGTCCCGATTTCGATAATTGGACTTAATACTTCGTCGAATGTCTCTTCCTCATTTCCAGCTGGTGTCAATGTTCCGGAACTATCGGCGTTACGCACGTACGTAAAACAGAGGCATGGAGCCGGTAACACGGCTTACCCAAAGACGTATGTAGCACAGCACATCCTCCAGAAACCTGCTGGGTCTGTCAGAATTTGACCGAGTGTTCGGGGCTTTTTGCGGTCTAGAACATAGCTTGGAATTGAAGCTGTTTCTTCTTCGGTGTTTCCTTGATGACTACACATGTGCGGTATGTTGTGAGACGTTGTTTTGTTGTTGTACAGATTGATGGTAATATAAAATGATCTATGGGTCTGAAAATACTGTTATGGACGGCTCAAATACCTTGAACAGACATGAAATGCCTGCAAGGTTTCGATTGAGGTCGATATAGCAAACGAAACCTGTTTTGTGCATCCCTATCCACATATGTGCCCAAGTTGACCAGTGGCAAAACCTCTGATGTGAGACGACTTGCGATACTTTGCCCAATGTGTCGAACATATAACTGATAGATCCATCGAGAAGAAAAGAGCACATCTTTCTAAAAAGGGAGAATGTAGATCATCTCTCCTGCCACGAGTACTGGGGGAATATGGCCGATGTGATGTACTTGACAACTTTCTGGCCGCGCGTATGTACGACATGTATCACATAATCTGTGCAATCGCATACGATACGTACATACGTAGTTGGCACATGTCATGCATGTATCCTGCATACATAGGCATGATATGCACGCGTGTATTGATAGGAGGACAAGGATCCGAGGAGTCCTGCATGTAGTATGTACAAGACAGGATTCGGCAGAGAGAGACGTTGATCTCGCGTGGGTATCCGTTATGCCCCGTGCGCGTGGAACAAGTCGTCGTACGAAGCTGCATGCACTCTGGTCCTAAAGGGCAGACAGGTTCGAAATTGGACTGATGTGAGATTGGGCAATGGCCTGTTCCGGAAAGAATTTCGTGAGTTCGAGGGGAGTGGTTTTTCGGTGTAAATGATGGATTTGATATACATGATACAAGCAAGACGCACGTAGGTACCAGTATGTTTTAGGGATTCGGATAGGACATGAAATTTGATGGTAGGGTTAGATCAAGGTCATGCTATATACACAACGAACGATGCAGACGAAGTGTTTGGCTAGTAAGTTCCGTACGTATATCATACATTTCATATAAACACATATACATGTTCAGGCGCGCCACCATTTGCCCAACGAGCCACCACCGCCAACCATATCAGCAACCTCCTCAAAACTAATCTCGACTCTAAACATCGTTCCGTCGGTCGTCCCATTGCCCGATCCAAGGGACACAACTAGCCCCCAATTAACAAGCTTCTCCCAGGCTTCGCGTGAAACATCACGTCCCCAGACCCGACCACCCGTAGCAGCAGCTCCTTGAGCAGCTGCAGTAGCTTTGGCCGAAGTCAAAAGACGGACGTATTCCGCGTAGGCAGCTGGGAACGAGAGGGCGAGGGATTGGGAAGTGGCTACGTCCGTGCCCGGATCGTAGAGAGCTGTTAGACGTGTGGCTGCCAGCAGAAGTGATAGAGGTAGTGATGTTGCACTTGTAGAGCCTGTCAGGGATGATGGGAATGGAAGAGGGCCCGGGTCTGGGCATGTCAGAGATTGGCTCSTGAAGCTCTCCGATGTTGGAATTTCGAGATCACTTTCTACGTCGGACGCGCTATGGTAGAGATTTGATATCGGGAGTAGGGCACTAGAATAGAACTCCTTGACGGATTTTGTTTGGTGGTATATCCGTTGCAAATGGGACTCAAAATCTTTGTCCTCCCAGAGACCCTACAATTTCTTATTAGCTTCAATCACACTGCTATCGAATAAAGTGCTTCTCACCTTCAAGTACACTTTCCAAGCATCTAAAAGTTGCGGAAGTTTGGCCGGCATCCTACCACCAAAATCATTGTCCTCAATCTCTGAAGCCTCTACGGTCAAAGTAGAAAGACAGGCCTCCGAGAATGCCTCAAATGACTTTGCTAGTGGTAGATAGACGTAGCGATGACTGAAGCGGCTTTTGACACGTTTCTCAAGCGTTTCGGTGACGTCCACTTTGGTAGTCAGTCCCAGGACGGCCAGTGGTGCCTTGCGCGCTTGCGCAATATCAAACAGGTTGTATAGTAGTGTCTGTCGAGGATGTGTCGCAAAAAGGTCGAATTCATCAAGGATGATGACAACTGACTTTGCCGTTGTGATACCATTAGAGTTGTCCGAGCTATTTTGGAGCTCTTCCGGATGCGACAACAGCGCCAACAATGTAGCCATGGTATCGGCATAGCTATTAACCTTGGAAGTTTCATCTTCCGTATCCGTTTCACGACCAAGTTGTCTCCAAATCTCTCGTAGCGCGAGACGGTCATCAGTATGGAAGAACCCGTTTAGGCGAACGACGTGGAAATCATCTTTGTGTTTCTTCATCAGCGAAGAGATGATCGATTCTACCATTGTGGTCTTTCCACTTCCCCGTGAGCCCATCAGTAGCATCGAGTTTCCTTCTCCTGCTGTGACAGTCTGTTCTACTAGCTGATAGACTTTTTGATATTCTGCATCCAAACCCTTCAAAGGTGTCAACCGTTTCCTGTTCAGTTTCTCAAGGACGAACTTGCTCCCAGCGTTGATTTCGTGCCGAAACTCGGCTTCACAAAGTTTTTTGAACGTCTCCGCATATTCAGGTAGCGGGTTCGATTGAATTGTGTTTTCATGAGCATCAACATCCTGTATCAAGTCTTCCTGTAGCTGCGCAGCTACCGGATCGTAGCTATCATCCATTCCTCCATTCATCATCTCTAGTTCTGCATCTGGGTCTTCATCAGATTTCGACTCATCAGACTCATTCTGGCTTTCCTTCTTCGCAGGCCTTCTTGTCGACTTTCTTCGTGCCATTGGAACATCCACATCCGGCGAACGACTCTTAGACTCGCTGGCATCGACTTGACCGTGCTTTAGGGCCACACGTATCCCGTTCGCTGTTATTGCCTTCTTCGAAGGAGTCGCTGTAGACAATCGCGACCGACGCGGGGTCTCAGTCTTTTGTATCTCATCCTCGTATCTCACAGGGGCCTTCCGTTGTCGACCACTCGCTCGAACACTTCTCGATGGGGTTTCGTTGTCTTCGGCGTCAGTTAATTTGTTTGCGGTGGATTTTCGCCGGGACGATTTGGACGGTGTCGCTGCTAGAGCTGCATCGACCTCTGGATCATCGATATCCATTGCTGTGAGTTCATCTTCGCCGTGGTGTGCACTTGGAGGCGTTTCGGGGATTTCGATGTCGCCGTCTTGATCTATTACATCGGATACCCTCCTTCGTTTTGCTGAGCGAGACTCGACCATGATGTTCCGAACGGGATCTGGCAGTATTTTTCAATCTTTGATCATACTTTATTTATATCGTCTTGATCCTTAGCCAGTGAACGCTTTTGCAAGGCGTTTGCAATTGAATTCGGTTCGGAGTTGAAAATGCAAGGAGCGTAGACGTTTTCGTCTCGTCGATATCTCGCAATTAGGGGTATTGTGTTGTTTTTCAATTCAAAAAATCGCTCAACAGATCAAGTCTCAATATATAACGGGTTGTCACAAGGGTAATCAAGTACGTTGCTAATTGTAGCATAGATGAAGTTCAAGGTCAGGAACGGATATATCAAAACGCGCGACACGCCGCAAATACAGACACATGATTGGCTGACAGGGAAGGAGGTCTCCATTCATCATCATCCATTTCTCGACCAGCCTGAGTACATGTCGCAAGTCATGTCAATGCGATACTCATACGCAATCGCATTTTCTGCTTATCAAATCTGTCTTTGGTATTTAAATTATCCGGACTCGCTCATGAGGCTAGCGATATACTGAGCAGCTTAGCTGAATGCCTCGGCGACTGACATTGTAATCATTGTAGTTTAGACCGAGGTAATTTAATCGCTTGCGCTGCCGCAATCTCAACTCAGCCTCATTAGTGTATGGTGTACTCTATCAGCTGTGTGCTTGTTTATGAATATTGACATAAACGGATCGCCTACGTCCCAATTTAAAACTGCTGATATAATTGTGCGTCTGACGGCCTTGCAATATATCTGAAAATGGGGGTTGATAACGATGCCTCCTCTCATGACTTCGAAGCGGGCATCAGAGATATGCTCCAACATATAATAACCAGAGATCCAAATGACGAGGTACGCAACCTACCTCTGTGCCTCACATGTCTTTACTCTAATCAATGCATTCAGTGCTAACTCTTCTCTAGAGATGGATGATAGACCAAACTGCCAAAGTGCGCCTCGAGTCCGCAAACCCAGGTCCCCCAGCACGCGCTATATTCCGAATGCTCGTTACACCCTCCATGACCAACGCATTGAACAATCTGCACGGCGGATGCGCAGCAACCATAATCGATATCTTGACTTCAATACCCGTCATGGCCGTGGGGACGCCCGGTGTGTTTCAATATGGAGGTGTGAGTCGGAATCTGAATGTTACGTATTTGCGACCAGTGCCGGTGCATTCTGAGATCAGGGTTGTGTGTGAAGTTACGCAGATCGGGAAGAGGTTGGCGCTATTGAGGGCTGAGATCAGGAGGGTGGAAGATGATGCACTTTGTGTGCTGAGTGAGCATCAGAAGGCTAATACGGATCCGCCGGCTGGTTCGAAATTATAAATCATTATAGATTACACTAAAAGGTCAGATTTAACATTGGATAATAACTAAGATCTAGGCCAAGTATAATTAAGGGTGATCAAGATAGACGAAACGAACACATCATATGCTACAAGAATGATTTTATTACCAATTTTGTCCCTTGTAGTATCATGAAGCTGCCAGATCACGTGTATTCGACTTGTTTGATATCATGTTTCTTCACTAACGCCGGAGCTCTGAGTCAAAAAAGCAATCTATTCTTCAGCGACGAGATTCTGGCCCTCGCGGAGACCCTCAACGACAAGCTCATGGCCTTCCGCACGCTCGTAGATATCGCGGACGTCGTCTGCACATCTGTTAGCTACCAGGGCTTGTTATACTGTTGTAATAATGCTTACCGGTCGTGGTCTCGAAGTGTGAAGTAGCATCGTAGCTCTTGGAAATGAAAACATTGTCCTTCTTGCCATCATCAAGAGGCTCGTACAGAGGAATAGGGGGTCCCATGAACCTCTCCTCAATTTGACCGAGTCTCTGGAAACCGGGCTCAAGCTCCACATGGTGGTTGGCTTCGCTTTCAGCAATGGTTGAAACAATCGCAACATAGTAGCCCTTGGGGCAGACGTTGTGTGCGGAGGAGACCATGGCGATATAGATATCTGGTCACGTTAGATCATACTAGTCGGATTATGCCCAAGTAAACTTACCGTGCTTGCGTCCAACCTGGGACTGAGGAATGATGAGCTGAAGGGAATCACTGCCGTCGGTCTTGTCGATGGGGTGCTTAAGGATACAGATAGCTCTAATGACATATCCAGTAATCTTAACCTTGTTAGGGAAGTAAGAAGGATCGGCAATGATCTTGGTTGTCTTTGTGGTGAACTTCATGCCCTCGCCAGCTTCATCACGTTCCTTCATGGTTGCTTTGATACCAGACACTTTTCCATTCTCGTCATACAAAACTTCGTCGACTTTGGTGTTGAGCATATAAGTACCGCCGTAAATAGCAGATAGACGTGCAAAACCTTGGGGCAACTCTCCAAGACCATATAGAGGATAGATATAAGGCGATTTTCCGTAGCGAGCCATCGAGTTGACGTACAAGCGGATACGGTTGATACTCTCAATCACTCTTCCCTTGGCGTTGATATATTCGTCTGATGGGTATAGAGCCATAGAATGACCGACAAAGTCGCGGGTTGAGGGCTCCAGGCCAAACTTATCATAAACATCCTTCATGGTGACGGCGGACAGATTGAGACCTGGGGTGACGTTAGCAAGTGAACATCCAAGCGCGGGAAATATGTGTATTACCCAGGTGAGTACTGGGATTATCCTCCTTGAACTCGCCAACCCACTCCAAAAACTTCTTGGCGCGCCTCTTCTCAAACAGACCCATAAGAGACGAACGGAGAGCTTCACCAGCGTCCGAAGGGACCTTGGCAACGGTGGCTTTGGGGCCCTCTCCCTGCTGCACGTAGCTTCCAGCAATTTGTCTAAACTCAAGGTATCTTGTGACGTCGGTGGAAACCAAAATGTTTGTCAATTCACCGTTGGACATGAGCAGCTTGGGGATCAAGTCCACGTTCCAGTCGTTCACGCGGCCATATTTCTTCCATGGCTCCTCGCCGTCGCGAACATTTCCGTATGTTTTGAACAGCTGCAACGGTTAGAGGATGATGAAAAGGTCAGAACCGATGGTAGTTACCGTTTCGATGTTGACAGAGGCAGCTTCGCTATAGCAGTGTTAGCAATCTATGGAGATGTGGTGACGTGAGTATGAATGAGGGGGTCTTTCGTCTTACCCTCCATAGTGATCATTGCGATCAATGTGAAGCACTTTCTTGCCCTTGACACTCAGGACACTTTGATTGTGAGTCACCAGTCATTAGTTTCTGCAAGATTTCAATGGCTTACCCAGACAGAACACATTCGGTCAGGCCTGGGAGCAGTTAGTACAAGGATCTCGCTGCGGGGTAGAGCTTCATCATCATACCGGTGCCTAGCACAACGACATCGTATTCGGGGGCAATCTCATCCATGGTGGTGATCAAACTGCGAGGACTAAAAACAAGAACAAAAACACAGATACTACTGTGTGTAAATAGAGGGTATTCGAGTGGGTGTGAGATACAGAAGGGAGAAGTTGTTTATGCTCTGTCGCACTAGCAAACATAGTTTATTTAGTCTTGGTTGGGGGAAGACTAAGGAGGTCCCCGCCCGCGGAGCCCAAACCAAAGAAGCGGTGGATTCTGTTGCCATGCCATAAAAGCTGACACGATACTGAAGGTCAATTGGATTGTATAGGTCTAATGTACATTTTCCTTCCAAAGTAGCATAAAAAGAGCAGTATTGATACAAAAAAAGTCCAGGTACGCAGAATGTTGTTTCGTCAGGGTAGATTCTTCGAATATTACAGTCAAGTAATATCGAGTATGCCGGGAATACAGAGTCGAGGCTAGACTTCTGTCTGCGCTTTTGCATTTCTCTTCTCCGCTAATGCCTTCCTTTTGGCCTCTTTCTTGGCCTCTTTCTTTGCCTTCGCCGCGAGTTGTGCCTTCGCGTGTTCTGTCTGCCACTGCTCATCCGCTTCCTTCAACCAAATCTGTCGCGCATCCTCCCAGGCGTACCACCGTTCTCGAAGTACATGTTTGATAGCTTTCTGAGTGGATCGGACCTTGTATCATGCAGTGTTAGCAACAGACAAGTCAACCGCAATATTTAAGGATCCTTACCACTCGTTCACGATCAATTAATTCCGCCTCTCCAAAACCTGCCTTGAGGCGATCTCTCTCGATGTTTGATGTTGAAATGCGGTTGCGTTCCTTCACACAAACCCACCACAAACAGTGTAGATCTTCCCAGGACTTTCCACGCAATTCTTGAACGGACCACGAGCGACCTGATCATACCACGAATTAGTCCATCGGTATATATAGAGAAGACGCATCTACCTACCATGTGCGATATCGTATTCTGGTGTGCTCATCGGCAGCCTGTCGGGAGGAAAGAAATCCCAGAGTCCATGATCCGGATTGGATTCGCGAGGCGGCAGGGCTTCTCGAGCAACAGGTACAGGTAATGGGAATTTTGCGACAGTCAATGGATGTCGGGGTCCTGTCATATGTATGGCCGAGACACCGCGCTGCTTGCTTTTATCGGGGAATTGGCGGGCGGCATTGGATGCTGTAGATGAAAAGTTCGCGGACTGAATTTTGCCGTGTACTGCGGGAGCGAGAAACGCCGGGGGGAGTTCTGCGGACAGAGGAGTGCCCAATTGGCGAGTAAGACGGACGACCGATTGACGATTCATCGTGATGCCGGATTTTGATTGCTGTAGGCTGCTCGTTGTGTCTCCGACATCCCCTGTAATTGTTGGATTGAGCGGCTTGACGGCTCACAAAGTTAGCGCTTAAGCTCGTGCACGTGACCCTATAGCTTGAATCCAACAGTTGCACCTCAACAAGGTTCCTCAGAGGAGAATTTCTACTTAGTATGTATAACAGATTTACAGTCTGGAAATGAATATAAATGACCTTGCTAAGATTAAGAAATGCGCCGGTTTCTAATATTATGCCGATAGGAATAAGTTAGTTGACTTGCTAGTTGAGCCTCGCATGCATATGCCCTAAATTTGCCTCACTGACTCGACGACTGTCGGCTATTACGGAAAATAGGTAACGAGGGCAATGGAAGACATAAGTATTGAAGGCTTGTATAGGTTAATCTAAAAGTGAATCATTCACGCCATCACTTTCTGAATGGTCCGTGCTTACACGAAGAAGCGCGCGGCTAGGGCCAAGGCGGGCGGCTATTACTGCTCGCCCTGCAATCAACTCGAGGAGCACCGCAACTGGAGCCGCAAGTTAAACTTATCACATTTTAAGGACACTGATTTTTGAGCAGATTGTCCTGAATATCCACTGATATTACGAACATTGCTCGCTCCGACACCGTCAGACGCTATCACAACTTTTTCTTTCACTATGAATAGGCCAGGTCAGTTGCACTGTCCTCCCCCACCACATGTCCATGCGACAGCACCTTGTTCGAAATGTGTTCGCATATTCTCCCGCAATTGCGCGATCCAGCCGTCACGTTCCTTCGATATTATTCCACGAACAATACGTGAAGATATGCTGGTCGATACACGGCACCGGCCGTCAGAAAGTCTTATTGGCGGTCTTAACTCGAAATGGCCGCATCGCACTCTTGGATTTCGCTTTGTGGAGCTCACAGATTGACGAGCTATTGTGATGTGCCGAGCTAACGTGTGTTGAATGACTATAGGACCAGGCCCGCAGCCACTTAGAGGCATGCCCGGATTTCCCTCACAACAACAGGCACAAGCTCGAAACGTATCCATGGCGACGAGTCGGCTACCCAACGGAAAGATAGGTGCGCTTTATTGCTGGTTATTGCAGTCAAATCGAGCTTCGCTGATTTTTGAAACTTGGTATAATAGGGTCTAATGCGAACTGGAACTTTGGTCTTCCTATGGGCGCAGCTCCAGGGTTGCAAAATCACCAGCAACGAAATATCGGATCGATGGGAACGTTTGCACAAAGCCTCGGTGCTTCGCAACCTGCGACACCTTTAGACCTTTCGTATGTATTTTTGGGCACATTCTGGGCTGCGCGATTCTGGACAGAACAGGTGGCTGATTTCCGCGTTGCTAGTGAATTCCCTTCGTTATCAGGAGTACCCCAACCGAACCAGGCCCAGTCCTCTGCTCAAGCAGTCTGGGCAAATGCAGGACAACGTGCGACCCAGCAAACACCGGTTCAAAGACAACAACCCCCCTCGAGTCAGCCTCCGTCGCGAGCCTCCCAAACTCAAACACACTTCACACAGCAACAACCTCCCCAAGACGACGTATTTCCATCTGGCGCTCAATTCGCAAACCGATTAGATGATTTCAGAAATGGTGGTCAGGGCATCAGTGGCCAGCTCGGAGGTGGTGGACAACCGCAGACAGGAAACATTGAAGAGTTCCCGCCATTAGGCAGGAACGCTGCCGACATACCCCCAGGCGGGATTTCTCGCATGAATGATATTGGGCAGGAGCGTAGGGGCTCTGTGTTAACAAATACAGGATTTGGCAGCTATGGCCCTGGTTTGGCATTTTCAAATCAAACACAGTCTACACAAGCTCGGAACATTTTGAACTCAGCATTGAACGGACAAGAGAACAATCGCGTCATGTCACCAGGAGCATCAATCTCAACAGGTATGTCATGTTGTCATGTTGGACCTCAGTGTTAAATTTGATATTGATGAAAGTAGCTCCAGGCATTTCGACGTCGAGATCTCCGCAAGGGACGAATGGCGTATCAGCTCAGGACAAAGAAGTAGGCATACCGCACTTCTGTGTATTGGAGACAGATGAACTAACCCGATTTTAGGACGGCCTCCGTTCCGAGAACTTTCCAGAGCATGAAAGCAGTCAGATGCAACAACGTCAATCGCAATCTGGTGGCGTGTCAGCGGACAGCCAGGATCCAACGAGTTCAGGCCAAAGCACAGATCAGCCGCCTCTTTCCCAAATGAGTGAGCTAGACAAGTTTGGACTTGCAGGCTTACTTCGGATGATACATAGTGAGAGCCCAGATGTGGCCAGTCTCGCTGTTGGACAGGACCTAATGACTCTGGGACTGGATCTCAACCAGCCTGAGTAAGTTTTCATGTCTTGATTATAGCACAGAATCTTTCTAATCATCTATAATAGACCCCTGCATCATTCCTTTGCGTCGCCGTTCGTTGCTTCAATGTCTGCAGTTCCTCTCGAACAGGACTTCGCAATTCCCAGCTGTTACAATGTTGCGAATGTACAACCTTTACAATCACGGATACCCAGCTTCAGCGATGAAACCCTCTTCTATATCTTCTACAGTATGCCGCGCGACGTTCTGCAAGAGCTTGTCGCCGAAGAATTGATGGGCCGCAAATGGCGGTATCACAAGGTCGAACGCTGCTGGCTTACCAGAGACGAAAATTACCCTGGCCCCGTTGATGTCGAACGTGGTGTGAGTGAACGTGGCGTGTATTTATGGTGGGATCCTGCTTCTTGGAAAAAGATTCGCGTATGTTCTACCCAGATTCCTCGACCTAAATCTCCTCCGAGCTAATGATTATCTTCTAGCGCGAGTTCATACTCCGTTACGAAGACCTTGATAACCGGCTCGATCCTGGCCGGGGCATCCAACAACGGCCCGGATTCCCTCCTCATGCTTCATAGTGGTGGTCTCTTTTGATGCTTCGCGTATTCATCATGTTTGTCTATTGGGTAGCATGGGAACGAGCGTTTACACGTTTGGCAATCGGCGTTAACTAGTGGGCGACGGTCTGCCATTGGGCAAGGTGGGAACTACATTATTCTCTGGATAAATGATGAATATTCCTAGTGTCCGAAAAGGTGATGCATTGCACTCATAGTTTTGTGTGTGCTTTGACGATTGAGCCATTGTGTCGAATTGTGTCAAGGATCGTAGTACTGTAGACGACGTAATGCTTTCACCCTATGTAGCGTAAATAGTAGCAGATGCCTTGGATAAGTAGGTTTCGAATAATGACCCGTCTCTAGATGGCAGATGCTGGCAGCTTTGATATTAGGGTTATTTACGACCACCGGTATAGGATTAGCTTATATCAGGTAAACGCTAATCTAAATTAAATCTAGCTTTTGCGATTAGTCGTTTACATTTAGTAGCACGTGACGGCTAAGCTGAAATAGGCAAACCATAAACAGTTTTGGCGGGCGGRCCAACAACAGACTCCGCCAAAATCAACACAAACTGCGACCGGTCGCTGCCAAAACAACCACGTTCAACAGCTGCACAAGCTGCCTCCTTACAGGCAAATCCGGATACTAATGTTTCTTCTCCTACTTGGACCTTAATCACGTTCTTTCATTAATCGGGAGATTTGCAACGATGAGGATTGTGGAGATTATTATCGACGTAGGTCTTTGTTCTTCGGTGATGGTGACGGAATGATGTGTTGACTATCGACTACAGGGCTTCAAGTCGTACGCCGTTCGAACGGTCATCTCAGGATGGTATGGTTTCTCTTTTTGCGATACTCCGGAATTGTTTGCGATGGCTTCTACTCTACGGATGTTGGGATACGCGCGGGGTGATAATGTTGGTTACTGACACTTTTTTCGCGCAGGGACGAGTCGTTCAATTCCATCACCGGTTTAAACGGTAGTGGAAAATCCAATATTCTCGATGCCATTTGCTTCGTCCTCGGTATTACGAATATGAGCACGGTGCGAGCGCAAAACCTCCAAGATCTCATTTATAAGCGCGGCCAGGCCGGTGTCACCAAAGCCAGTGTGACCATCGTATTCGATAATCGCGACAAAGCCAAGTCGCCAATTGGCTTTGAGGAATATGGCAGTATATCGGTAACGCGCCAGATCGTTCTCGGCGGTACTAGCAAATATTTGATCAACGGTCATCGCGCGCAACAACAGACCGTTCAGAATTTGTTTCAGAGTGTACAGTTGAATATCAACAATCCGAACTTTTTGATTATGCAAGGTCGCATTACGAAAGTGTTGAATATGAAGGCTGTTGAAATTCTGTCGATGATTGAAGAAGCTGCTGGTACCCGAATGTTCGAGGATAGGAAAGAAAAGGCGGCGAAAACCATGGCCAAGAAGGAGATGAAAGTCCGCGAAATTGAAGGACTTCTCAACGAAGAAATCGAACCCAAACTCGAGAAACTTCGCGGCGAAAAGCGTGCTTTCCTCGACTTTCAACAGACACAAAACGACGTTGAGCGTCTAACTCGTTTAGTGGTCGCTCACGATTATGTGAAGAGCAAGGATCGACTTAAAGTTGCTGGTGAAGAATATGACGCCAAGAAACAGAAGATACAGGATCTTGAAGATAATGCGACAAGGCTCAAGACTGAGATTACTCATCTCGAGGAAGATGTTCAGCGTGTCAAGGCTGTTCGGGAAAAGGAACTGCGTAAAGGTGGCAAGTTCCAAGCTCTGGAAAATGAGGTTAAAGAAAATTCGCACGAATTGGTTCGATTAGCTACAGTTTTTGAGTTGAAAAATGCCAGCATGGCAGAAGAAAAAGAGAAAAGGAAGGCMAGCCAAAAGAGTGTCACCGAACTCGAGAGATTGCTCAAGGAGAAGAGGAGAGTCTACGAGAAACTTCAAGCTAAATACGATACAGCGAAAGCCGAATTCGACGCTCAAACCGCAGAAGTAGAGACAAAGGAAGAATTGCTTCAGACACTGCAAACTGGTATTGCATCCAAGGAAGGCCAGGAGAATGGCTATCAGGGTCAACTTCAAGACGCGCGTAACCGAGCAAGCGCTGCTTCAACAGAACAGGAGCAGGCTAAGCTCAAAGTGACGCATCTTGAAAAGAGAATTAAGGAAGAGGAACCTCGTGCCAAAAAGGCAGCAGAACAGAACTCAGGTCTTTTGAAAGATTTGGAGTCGTTACGAGGACGAGCGAGTAAACTGGATGCCGAAATGGCCAAGCTAGGATTCGAGCCTGGTAAAGAGGAAGAGATCTATCAAGAGCAATCAAATCTCCAGCGCGCCATCAGAGAGCTCCGAGAAAGAGCGGATGGGATGAATAGGAAAGTAGCGAACCTTGACTTTTCCTACTCCGACCCACACCAAGGCTTTGACCGATCGAAGGTTAAAGGTCTTGTTGCACAATTGTTCACATTGGATAAGGAAAAGACCCATGCGGGCACGGCTCTTGAGATCTGCGCCGGTGGACGACTGTACAACGTGGTTGTTGATTCCGCAGAGACTGGTTCCCAATTGCTTCAGAACGGCAAGCTTCGCAAGCGTGTAACCATCATTCCATTGAACAAAATTTCAGCTTTCAGAGCCTCGGCCGAAAAGATTGGAGCTGCGCAGAGGTTGGCGCCAGGAAAAGTTGACCTTGCCTTATCGCTCATTGGATATGATGACGAAGTATCTGCAGCCATGAACTACGTCTTTGGTTCCACTCTTATCTGCGAAGATGCACAAACCGCAAAGACGGTCACATTCGACCCAAGTGTTCGGTTAAAGAGTGTCACCTTGGAGGGAGATGTGTATGATCCATCAGGAACACTTTCTGGTGGTAGCTCACCAAACTCAAGTGGTGTGCTTGTAGTCCTTCAAAAGCTACACGAAATTAATAGAGAACTACGAAGCAAAGAGCGGCAATTGGCTACTCTGCAAGAGACTATGGCAAAGGAGAAGAAGAAGCTGGACGCTGTGCGGTCTTTGAAACAAGAGCTTGATCTCAAGAATCACGAGATCAAACTGACAGAGGACCAGATCAACAGTAACAGCTCATCTTCGGTAAGTTATCGTTAGTGGCCTGATGTAGGAAGTTATACTAATCTTCAATTAGATTATCCAAGCAGTCCAAGAGATGAAGGAACAAATAGAGCAACTGAAGAAAAATATTGCCGATGCGAAAGCCCGACATGCAGAAGCTCAGCAAGACATCAAGCGAATCGAAAAAGACATGAAGGAATTTGACAACAATAAGGATGACAAGCTAGCCGAGCTTCAAACGTCACTCGATACGTTGAAGAAGAGTCTTAACAAGAACTCCATTGCTGTCAAAACTCTGCACAAGGAGCTCCAAGCTTCGCGTCTTGAGTCTGAACAGGCCGGAAGTGACCTTACTGCTGCAGAGGAACAGTTGGCTGAAGCTGACGGTGCCATGCAAGCTCAGGTTGAGGAGATCGAAACACTCAAAAAAGAACAAACCAGGATCAAGGTAAGATACACTTTCTCAGTTGTGGTAGATGGCAATACTGACATGCCCAGGATGCCCATGATATTGCACAAGCTCAGCTGGAAGAGGAGCAAGCCAAACTGACCAGCTTCGACGACGAGTTGGGTGATCTCGAGCAAGCAATCCGATCCAAAAATGCCCGCATCACTGAGGAAGGCTTAGAGATGCAAAAGCTTGGACATCAACTCGAGAAACTTCACAAAGACCAACAAGCAGCAGCCCAGATGGTTGCAAACATGGAGGGCGAGCATGAGTGGATCGAGGAAGAAAAGGACAGCTTTGGCCGCCCGAATACTCCTTATGATTTCCGAGGCCAGAATATTGCAGAGTGCAGATCTACTTTGCGAAACCTGACGGAACGTTTCCAGGGAATGAAGAAGAAGATCAACCCTAAGGTCATGAATATGATCGACAGTGTCGAGAAGAAGGAAGTCGCCCTAAAGAACATGATGAGAACAGTCATTCGTGATAAGAACAAGATTGAAGAGACCATTATCAATCTAGACGAATACAAGAAAGAGGCGCTGCACAAGACATGGAGCAAGGTCAATGGAGACTTTGGTCAGATCTTCGCCGAGTTGCTTCCTGGCAGTTTTGCCAAGCTTGATCCTCCAGAGGGTAAAGAGATTTCTGATGGTTTGGAGGTCAAGGTCTCTCTAGGAAAGGTCTGGAAGCAGAGTCTTACTGAGCTCAGTGGTGGTCAACGGTATGTTTCTCGCAACCACACTTTTATCCATATTAGGTCTAACGTTATCTCAGTTCGCTCATTGCTCTGTCACTTATCATGGCTCTTCTCCAATTCAAACCGGCTCCGATGTACATTCTTGACGAGGTTGATGCCGCTCTCGATTTGTCACATACGCAAAACATTGGACGTCTAATCAAGACGCGCTTCAAGGGCTCCCAATTCATTGTCGTCTCGCTCAAGGACGGCATGTTCCAGAATGCCAACCGGATCTTCAGGACGAGGTTTAGTGAAGGCACCAGTGTTGTGCAGGCATTAACGCCGGCGGACATGAAGTGATTGTTGACTTCTTTTTTATAACCTGTCTTGATTACTCCTTATGCTTTTGGGTTATCGGTTTCTTGGAGTGTGTGGACTACTTGGTGTTAAACGGATGTCGTCAACTGTACATGGGCTTTGCATATTCATATTGTTCATCATATATGCTTTTGGAATGCGTGACGAAGAGAAATGGATCTCTGCTTAACGTATGATATGGAGGTTTTCTTTTCTGTGCAAATCAGTTTCTTCCAATAACCCTAACCATGAGAGTAACCCTAAGCGTCGGTGCATCAACCCCGAGCACGTGAGTATTTAGCCGCCTTAGGCAAGATCGCCACCCTCGTGACTCCGTCGCCATTGCCGCATCTCGACACTCCGACGACAACAGACAACAGACAAAGTCAGGCTGATCGCGGCTTGAAGGAGGAAGATAGCGACTTGAACTCGAATTATTTGTTGACTTAATACTGCGACTCAGAGAACATAATCAACTTTCGCTTCGTGTACATTTATATTATCGCTCTGTTTATTCAACTTCACCCTTCGGGCATCGGGCCGCGGCTGAACTGACATCACACCACCAAATCCGCCCAAAAGAACCAAAATGGTCGACGAAGAACCTTCCATCAACATCCCCTCCCTGCTCACTTTAGCAGTTGTCTCCTTCCTGGTTATACGCTGGTTCCTGAATCGTGATGGCAGCAATGGAGGTGCGAATGGTGCTGGTCGGTCACGCGGTCGCATGATTGATCCCGCTCAGGTTGAGCAGATATCGCAAATGTTTCCGCAGTTGAATCGGAGGGACATCATGTGGGATTTGCAGAGGAATGGAGGCAGTGTTGCGGCGACTACAGAGAGGATATTGACTGGACGAGGACTAGATACGGTAAGTTTGGTCAATCGTTTGTTGTTTTGCGCTGACCTTGAATTCGCTTGACTGACTCGATTACTTTATACAGCCTCCACCATCATATCAACCCCAGATCCCACAACCTGCCAGTCCCACTACCAATACTACACCTATACCAGCCGCCAAGTCCGGGTCCCAAGACCTTATATCGCGCTACAACCTGAGCCAGCGAATCGCCGAAGAACAAGAAATATCCTCTAAACAGGAAAGCGCCTGGTCACAGAACAAGAGTGAGCGTCAGCGACTGTTGCAGAAGCGAAGAGATGATATGATTCTGGCGGCTAGGAGGAAACTTCAGCAGAAAGATCGGGAGACTTCTCATGCGCAGGGTCCTGCTTTATAAGCGCTTTGCTAATTTCATCTGGATTTAATTGAATTGCCTTTTTTATAGTCGTTAGAATTCCTCTTTCTGGACTGGATACCTGTCAACGACTTGGACAGTATTGGTTCCGAGCATTCCGTACGGCGTCTTGGTTTAATTAGCATAGTTAATACGACTTTTGTAGATGCAATGAATATCATTTCACTATCTGGGTATTATCGCAAAACAAAGAAAAGAAAAGAGACTCCCGCTAAATCAGCAACGCCAACTATTTTATGCGTCAATCATCCTACCCAAAACGAAACGCCAGTGACAAATGCGAAAGAAATCCAAGTATGCAGCGCAGGAAAGGTCATTCTAGAACTCCATATCGTCGTCATCTTGAGTATAGCCCTGAACAGACCCTTCTTCAGCAAGCTGTTCTCTCCGTGCCTGCTCGCGCGACGCGCCAATTTTGCGTAGTCCCTCAACTACTCCCGCGACAAACCCTCTCATTTCGCCAATTTCCATGGCTCCGACGCCGGTAAGCGATACACCACCTCCAGCCGTTGCTGCGCCGTCTAGTGAATCGACGCGCTTTCTCATTTTCGACATTCGGACTTCTCTTAGATCTTTGAGTAGGCGCCGTACTTGGTCGGGCTCAGTGAGGTCATCGCTAGCAGCGTCTAAGAGCATATTCCCCACCTCGAGCCAGTGATATGGTAGGGCAATCTCTCTTTCCACGTCTTGGGCCTCGGTAGCTGTTAACGCGGTATTTTGCGGTAGGAATGGCGGTGTTGGGTAATATCGTTGTCCGTCCAGTGTGTACTTCGGTCGGGGAGGAGCGGTCGGTTGTCTTCGTCCATCGTCGCCTGCCCTCCGTTGACCAGGTAGCACGGGTGGTGGTGAGAATGTATCTGAATACTCTTTCGTTTCTGTCTCGAACTGCAGGACAATTTGCAGGCATTCGGGATGGAGCCAATGCGGCGGAACGATGTTCACACGCCGTTGTCGTTTGAGGAGGATTGCGAGCCAAAGTGGGAGTGTTGCGCGTTGTGGTGGTAGGAGTTTTTCCGTCGGGCCCTGAAGTGTGTTGCAAGTACCATGTTAGTTTTTCTCTGATACGTAGCAAATGTATCAATCCGCGAACGCGGAATGTAGATCTTCAATCTCGAACTCCGCGGGGATGAGGCCGACTGCGGGGTCCGATTCTTTCACGTACAGATAGCAATTCGAGTTCGTCTAATCGTTGTCGAGGTACGACTGTTACCATTTCCATCTCCGACAGAAACTCTATTTCTGGAGGCGTCAGGCCTCGTTGCGGGGGAAATGCCATTGAGTCGTGTGGTTGTCGTGGATTGCGGAGATTCGACGCGTTAAGGAGGATTGAGTTGTGTTTCTGTAGATTAATGGGCGCTTTTCAGAGGCGAATTTTGGATGTTGCGCGCTTCACGAAAGGGGGGCATATCAATGTTTATATTCCCACCATTGTTATCGGGTCTATGTTGTTCAAGCTAAAATAATTTCCAAGTTTATCTCTTGCAAGTTATGCATCGCGAATGGATAATCTTTTGCGGGGCGGGAATGTCTGTTCAGTGTTTGCGCTGTTTGCACTGCATCGAGCCAACGGGAGCTTCGGAATTTGGGATTTGTTTTGGAGCCAGACAACAACATCTCACATTTTTCGTCCTTCACAACCATGCTATAGAGCCCCAATTGAATGCTTGGAAGGCTCGGAGGCCAGTGCGCAGATTTGATGTTACGACCCCTGTTCTGGCTTCTGATTCAAATCAAGGAAAAACCGCATAATATACCATGAGCTCTCAAGCCGAGACTGGTCTTACCCTAGCCGGCCGGTACTTGGTGCCATTCTTCCTGCTGTCCTTTTTGTTATGGAGGAAGCTAGTGAACGATAATGTGCAAGAGCCGTATCTTGACGAAGTCTTCCATGTTGGTCAGGCTCAAACCTACTGGAGACATGATTGGTTTAATTGGGACCCTAAAATAACCACGCCACCAGGACTATATCTATGGTCTTACCTTGATTGCACTGTTCGCTCATTACTGAAAGGATCTTCCGAGGAGGTCAATGTTGTTGACTTGCGGTCTACGAATTCTATTGCTGCCGCTATCCTTCTACCATGGCGCCTTCAGACGCTGTTGGATCTACTCAGAAAAGAGCAAAATACTCGAGCAGCTGGAGCTTGGCTTAGCCATACTGTTTTGAATATATGCTTATTCCCTCCGCTGTTTTTCTTTTCTGGGCTGTATTATACCGATATTCTTGCTCTCATTGTCGTGATTCAGGCATATATCTGGGATACAAAAAGATCAGATGCGAACGGCCAGAAAAAGACGGCAGTTGATGCTTTACGTGGTCATGTGTCATTTAAGACTTTGGCTTTCGTTGCAACTGGATGCATAGCTCTTGTATTCAGACAGACGAATATATTCTGGGTTTCTGTGTTTATGGGCGGCTTACAGGCCGTTCGCACTATTCGGCAAAATACAAAGTCATGCGGGTATACTGGACCACTTGAGATTATGTTAAAGAGCTTCCAGGCCGAGCTATATGATCCACTTGTGGAAGAAGCAAGCTTTGCTGGTTAGTTATACCTGACGTTTCTAACCTACTCTTCTAACTTTTTTTAGACTACTTCAAGACCGGACTGTCGTTAGGATGCGCTGCGCTGAGCGAATTGCCTCTCGTGGTAGCATCGATTATCCCTCACCTCATTGTACTAGGCGCCTTTGGTGCCTTTGTATTATGGAATGGTAGCGTTGTATTGGGACATAAAGAGTTCCACACAGCCGGTATTCATTTACCTCAGATGCTATACATCTGGCCATACTTTGTTTTCTTTTCATTTCCCCTCATCTCAATAGGCGTCCTGAATGCCGTTGTTCCTCGACGCTTCATTCCCAAATATCTCGACTATAATTTGAGCAATGCTCACAGACTTCCGTCAATACTTACTGCGCTGGCTGTCATACCTTTGATGCTCGCAGCCGTACATTTCAACACCATTGTGCACCCTTTCACATTGGCCGATAACCGACACTATGTTTTCTATATCTTTCGACTTCTGACTAGGGTCTATCCTACTGTCAAATACGTAGTGGTTCCGGTTTACTTTCTGTGTGCATGGGCTGTCCTTACTGCGTTTGGCATCTTCTCGCCTGCAGCACCGAAGCCCCCGCCAATTCAAATTGCGACTCCACAAGAGGCGTTCCCTTCATATCCCGAGACCCAAAAGCCAAGCAAAAGGCAAGAAAAGGAAGCGAAGAAACAACAAAAGAAGCAAGCAACAAAATCCAATGCCAAAAAACAACTATCTTCCCCTGCTGCTGCCAAATCGAAACAAGACCAACAAACTCAAGTCCTCACTCCAGAAATCCTGGCCAAGATTCAAGCACATGTTGCGATACGCCAACAACAGCGTGAAAACCAACAAGTTCGCGTCAGTTTCGTGCTTATCTGGCTCATTGCAACTGCCCTTTCACTCATTACTGCACCCCTCGTTGAGCCGAGATATTTCATTATTCCCTGGGTGATATGGAGAATACATCTTCCCCGTCAACCGACTCCAGAGGTATTTAAGAGGGAGCGGCAATCGAGCTTTAAGGCGCAGATTTTCACTGCGTTGCCTGAAATTATGGAGACCGTTTGGTTTCTGATAATCAATGCCGTGACTGGGTATGTCTTTTTGTATAAGGGATTTGAATGGCCACAGGAGCCTGGGAAGGTCCAGAGATTCTTGTGGTAAAAAAGTTTTTCCAAGTCTGTGTTCTTCTAGCTATATGTATTACTAGTATTTTAGCACGAGCGGTACTTTACATTAGATTGGTGACGGTAAGATACCTGGGTGTAATACTAATAACGTTCTTATAGAAAATGTCTCAAAACTCAAACAAATTCGCCAAATCATTCTACAACTATCCGTGGTATAAGCTGTCGCGTCTCTAAAGGTCTCGTCAAATATTCAAAATCTCAGATGTCAGTTCACTCTACAGCACCAAGTTCCTCCAATATCTCCACACAATCCTGCCTCCCATCATCCCTCGCTATCCGAAGCGCAGTATCTCCATACTCGTCTCGCAGATTGATATCAGCACCCTGCGCGACCAATATCCTTATATAATCCGCGCACTTCGCAGGAATCGTCTTCATGTAAACCGCAAGATTGAAAGATTCATGCTTGACAATAATTTTGACTGCTGCATATACTTGATACGAAAGTGCCGCATTCAGAGGGGTTTGATAGTCTTCGCGCGGATTCCCGCTGGGAACATGGCGAGCATCATAATTCCAGTCTGCACCGGCGTCAAGGAGGATCTTCACCGCGGAATAAGTTTGTTCGCTATCGTCTGATAGCCCTATAGCGAGATGAAGGGGCGTGAATCTATCAGCTGTCGCTTTGTTTATATAAACACTTTGGGAGATCATCTTCTTAAGGATGTCATCTAGACCATGTAATGTGGCTAGAAAGATATTGTCAATTGGATAGTTTCGCAGTGATCTGTCGGCAATTCTATACCGAGTCCAGATGGCAGGTATCTCATGCAGTTTCGTGCATTGCATGAAAATATCAGGGTCAACATATTTGGGATTACCCATGCATGCAATGTTCGGGTAATCCCAACCTTGTGAAGGGCATCTCCAAGCCAAAATCCGCTTTAATATCTCTGGACGTTCCAGGAATATGTAGTCGAGGACCCTCCACAGCTCCTCCGGGATTGCGGTGAGACTCTGGATATGACTGTCAAAATATTTGGCACAGTACATGAGGCATGTATGGAAAGAATCTTGTGGTTCCGTATCACTCATAAGATGCTGAAGGCACATGATAGCCATTTTAGCATTTGCAGTTTCTGTATCAGGGAGAAAATCCCGTAGGTCGTCTGGGTGGTTGGCGTTTGGATCGATTACGAATTCCTTTAACGAAAAATGGACGGTTCTCACCCGAATAAAAACAAGATTACTTATTGTGAGAAGGCCGAAAGTGATTTCGTTGAGGATATGAGCGTCGTATGGTTTCGTCTGATGAAGCGCAGCCTTGTGTGCTAGGGAGACCGCATCAACGAAGGTGCCTGAATTCAAAATGACTTTAGCATTGATTGCCCACAGAAAACAAGTCTGCGCGAGGCTCCTAGTCGTTTGTGGCAATGCGTTCATTTTTCGGAGAATGGCCACGTACGTATCTTCTAGCCCAGCAGGCAAGTGGTCTAATTGCGTTTTGATGTCGGCCTCAGGGACTTGGGCAATATCAGTCAATTGGAGGTCCACCCAAAGATACCTGAAGCAAATTAACAATCGGGGTAAAAGATCAATTTAGATAAGAAACCGTACATTCCCTTAGAATTTTCAGTCACTGTGTTGATGACAAGCTCTTGTACCTCTGGATCAATATGACTGAGCTCTGTCGCTACTCGATGTTTGACTAGTCTCGCAATATCGCCCTCCGCAAGACTATTCCTAGAGCTCACTTTTAGAACCTTTTGACGTCGAAAAGCACGCAATATATCAATCAGGATTCGGCTGGCTACAAAAACCCTCACGTTCTCGTCCTGGCGTCCAAGATCAAGCACGAAACTGAGTATCAGCTTTCGATGTTTCTGCTCGCATTCGTCTAAGCCGTCGAGAACGATAAAGACACGTTCGAAAAGCTTTGAGCATTTCAGGAATAGAGATTCCAGGTCATTGAAAGACGGTTTTCGTCCGTTCATTAGGAACTTATTGTAAAATTCTATGGCGGGCGCAGGGAGTGCTGGAAGAGCCCAACATAGTTGTTTTATCAGACTGGATATCATTTGTGTTGGCGAATATTGCGAATTCGCGTCTTCTCCCTTGAAGTAAGCATATATAACAGTGTCTTTCGAATTTTTGCTACGTTCGATTAGATGATTTATCGCTACCGAGCTGCAGCTATTAGCAACATTGAAGTCGGATATCATACAGCTCATTCGCAGACTTACGCAAGAATACTCTTTCCTGTGCCAGCTTCATAACAGATATCAGTCTGAAGGAAATTATGTTTTCTAAGTTGGAAGACGTACGAGGACCACTCAGCCACAGGATATTCTCCTTTTCCTGGCTGATCCAACTTTTAAAGGCCTGGGTCTCAATCAGCCATGATCCGGTGTCTTTGTATCGTTTATTGCTGGCCTCATCGTGCAAGGTTTCAACATCATGCTTGCATATCCAGCCAAGAAAATCTCGTCTCTCGTTCTCTATCAGTCGTCAGCGAGCAGCTTGCCGTTCGTAGTATTGATATGTAACTTACGTGCTTTGAGAGACTGTTTCTTGTTCATGTATTCTTCAAACTTCAGCACTGACTTCATAGTTACGGCGTTGGATACTATATTCAGATTCTCGATTTGGTGTTGGAGATTATCCCGAATCTGGCCAAATTGCTTCTCAAAGGGAGCCCATTGCACTGTTGCGAAGATTTCGAGAGCATTTGGACCTGACACTTTTCAGTTTGAGCTCCTCATGAAAAGAACGGATATACCGACTTTGGTCGTTGCTTTCGTTCAGGTAAGCTCGGCGTGCATATCTACAGAAGGCAAGTATATTTGTGTATACCGAGACCAAGGTCTATTGGTTTTTTTCAGCACTCTCTTCAGCAGTATATATCAAGTGTCTCACCTCATGCAGCCGTGGCTCTTTGAAATTGATGCCATCGTAAACACCTAACGTACGAAGAAGACCTGTGAGATAATCCATCATGTCCGTCAACTTTTCGTAATACTCAAAGTACGTGATTGCAGACTGTTCCCTAAATTAGCCCAAGCTTTTGCACTCTAGAAGAGAAAGGTAACAACATCAATAACAACACGAAAAACTCCGAGAACCACGGAACCAACACTCGGAGCCCCTTGAATTGCCACTGTAGCACCGCGCATCAATAAGTCGACAACTTGCAGAAAACTAAGGGTCCGATCCGAGATTTTCCTAAGCAGCGACTCGTCCAAGTGGTTCTTATCCATTTCTCTCATGGTTTTTTCCAATTGTAATGGAGTTTGACTTTGGGTATATTGGCGACTCCATACGCGTTTCTCACTGTCGCTGAGATCGTCCCAGTGTTTCCGCCATGCTTCCTGAAATGCAGGACTTGTGCAAGTCTCGATGACATTTTGTATGCGATCAGGACCGATGTTTAGGTTGGAGGGTTGTTCCACTGGCGTGACATCTGTCACTTTCTGAGACTTGGTTTTCTTCTTTTTTCGGAATATCGTTAAGATAGACATTGCATATCGTGTATATGCATCAAGTCCCTCGGTAAGATAATCAGAGTAAAAGCTGCATTTTGAGATTCTGCGAGATATAGTATGTCAGAATCACCTAAGTAGGCATCTGTGAAGTCAAACTGGAAGTTGAGTACTCAAGAAGAGCCCATAGATAAATACACAGAGGGATGTGACACGCGAGGCTGACTTTGATGGAAGCTATTTGCCACAAAGTACTACAGTGTAGTGCATTGTGAGACAAGGCTGGTCGGCGCATAAAGAGAGGATTCCATTGGATTGGGTGATGCAAGCGTCTACGGCACAGCTAAAGATGCATGGGAGAACGGCCAATGTTAGGGCAAGAAGGATGGATAGTGCCCCCCAGTGCCGAATACAGTATGCGGTACTGAGGCGCTTCTGGCTAAGGTTTGGCATTATCAGTTTGCCAATTATACTTAAGAATATACAGTACATGCTAATTTCAAAATTCCCTAAATACATTCCTTTTCAAATTTCGGAAATGATGAACGAGACTCACGAGTCTTCGAGGAGTCGTTTGGCAACCATGCCTGCGCCCAATGTTAGACTAAGCTTTAGAAAGTCCTTCGTGTTGTCAAGCAAGGAGACGATGTTCCTCGTAGAATGTTCCTTGTCACTAACATATTCTCCGACGTTTCAATCCTTGTTCGCACTTCTAAATTGATTCAGAATTCGTAGATATTCTTCGCGTTTGAAGTACTGAGCAAGGCTATAGGCTGATCTGTCGTCCGTCGTGACCTTGTCAGGATCTGCCCCTGCTTTGAGTAGCATCGTAGCAATCTTCTCTGAGAAAACAGATTTTTCAAGGCACAAAACTTGCAAGGGTGTAAAGTATTCAGTATCCACTTTATCTGGGTCAGCGCCTTGCTCGAGCAATTCACTGACAATATCCTCTAACCCAGCCATTGTAGCAACATGCAGGTAGTCATGTGGGTATATTTCGATGCGCTCAATTGTTGCATAACGTGCCTGGATTGTAGGTATCTGGTACAATCTCGTACTCCGTAAGAAAAATAATGGATCAATTGACTGCGGGTTACCGACACAGGCGAAATCAGGCCACATTTCTCCATTAATTTCAATCGGCCAACGCCAACTTAGAAATTTCAAGAGCCTTTGCTCTCCTGTTAACAAGACTCGATCGAGCATTTGCAGAACTTCCTCCGGTATTGTGGTAAGACGTCGAATATGAGTGTCAAAGTGATTCGCACAATAAGATAATATATTTCCCAAAAAATGATCATTAGGTATGTCGGCCAGTAAGTGCCGAAGACATTCACTGGCCATGCGAGCATTTGCTGTTTCGGTGTCAGGAATCATATCCTGCAGTTCCAGAGGCAGCCCCGACTGCGAATCCACGACGAATTCCTTCAAAGAAAAATGAATAGGCCTCACGCGTTGCAACCCGAAGTTGGTAACCCTGATAAGCTTTTTTGTAACGGCTGTTAGCTCAGATTCGTCATACTTAATCTTCTCGTGCTCATTCACAAGGCCAACTGCGTCCCTGAAGTCGTCGCTGCTTAGCAAAACTTCTGTATGAAAGGACCATAAAAAGCAACGTTGAGCGAGCCTCCTGCTTGTGGCCGGCTGTTTGTTTATTTTTTGAAAAATTTGCACATATGTTGCCTGCAAGTTGGATGGAAGTAGGCTTAACTGGGTTTTGATGTCACTCTCTAATACCTGTGAAAGGTCGTCAAGCTGAAAGGTGATCCACAGGAAACTGTCTCTGGAATCAGCATGGACATATTTGAATGAATTCCGATATACTCACATTCCATTCGATTTCTCGACCAGTTGTTGGATGATAAATTCCTGAGTATCCGAGCTCAAATGCCCTAGCTCTTTCTCCACGCGATGTCTAACAACTTTAACAATATCCTTTTGATCAGAGGTGATGTTGGGAATGACTAGAGATTTTATACGGGAAAAGGCACGTTTAATATCCCACTCCCATCGGCTCGTAACGAGAAATTTAGAATTGCTTTGTTGACTTGTTGCGCAAACAAAATCCAGAATAGGTTTTCGGAATTTCTCTTCGCATTCATCGAGTCCGTCGATAATCACAAATGCGTGGCTTAGAGAGCCTACACATTCCACAAACATAGCTGTTAGTTTATCAAGCACAGGAAGCCGGGCGTCCTTCTTGCATTGGCGGTAATAGTGCAGAGTTTCATCTGGAAGTGTTTTCAATTTCCAACAAAGCTGTTTGATGAGCATGGAGACCATTCGGTCAGGTGAACTTCGCAAATCGGTATCCTCTCCTTTAATGTAGACATATGCCACTGTGTAATTATTCTGATCACCGCCTTGACTTAAGTGGTCAATTATCATCGATCTAGAGACTTTTAGTGATATCCCATTATCACAGTCGAGATAGTTTCACACTCACGCAATGACACTTTTGCCGGTTCCAGCTGCAACAAGTCGTCAGTAAATAGACTCTTCCGTAGACAGAAGAGCAATATTTACCTGCTCCATATATCCAAAGAGGACGCGTGTTTTGTTCCGAAACCCATGTCAAATACGCCTTGTTTTTAAAAATAAATGAGCCAGTATCCGCTAGCCGCTGTTTACGAACGATGTTGTGGATTTCTTCAATCTTGTCTTTACATATCCAGTCCAAGAATTCCTTTCTCTCATTTTCTAGCGCAAGTTAGCGAGTGCTTATATCCCTTTGACATTTCATTCATTAACAAACGTACGTGCATGAGTCGAGGAAGTGTTCTTTAACTCCTCCTTGATGTCTAAAGCCGTATTCATCGTGATAACTGCAGTTAGTCTGCCTAGTTTAGCAGTGTAGCGATTCAGGTTTGATCGTATCTCTCCAAATTCCTCCTCAAATGGCGCCCACTGGACTTTTACCAAGACAGCAAAGCTACTTAGACCTGTTTTCCATTAGTGACCTTCTTTATCAAAATCGAGGAAGAGCAAATACTTCGTTCCTGGTCCTGGATACAGAAAACACGGCGTGCATGTCGACAGAAGGCAAGTATGTTTGTGTAAAGAGCGACCAGAGTCTAGCATATAATCAGCTTATTGTACCAAGGAGTGATGTATCAGGTCTTGATGTCTGACCTCATGTAGTTCGGGCGACTTCGCGTTATCCCGGGTGTACCTGTCCAACACCTCTATATCGTCCACAAGCTCTTCTAAAAGTTTGCTCAGTTTTACATAATAATTGAAGTAATTCATTGCAACCTGGCAATCAATCAGCCCGGAAGCAAGAATAGTAAGGAGTGTATACAAACATTGATTATGACGCGAACTACACCCACAACAATAGAGCTGACCTCCGGATATGCTTGAATGCCGATGACAGCTCCGGCCATCACTGTTTCAATGGCCTTGAAGAATCTCAACATTGGATCTGCTACTCTTCTGCTAGGGTTCATTTTGCGATGTAGCTTGTCCATATCCTGAATGGTCTTTTGCACTTGTGACGGAGAGGGAATTCTTTTGAAACTCCAATCATCCCATTCGCTTTTGTCGAGTGTCATCCAATGTTGGTTCCACGCTTCCTGATAGGCAGGATTTGTGGAATTCGCAACAACAATTCCGAGTTGTTCAGGGCCAATGTCTGAGAGAGGAATCTGTTTTGTTGACTGGTCATTTTGGACGGCCGAGGTGTTCTGAGATTTTGGGTTCTTTTTCTTAAAAAGCTTTGAAAGACCCATTGTGCTTGTGGTATGAGACACCAAATTATCCAAAACACCGACTACTTCATCGATGCCTTAAAGACCGTTTCACAAAATGGTATATTAAAAATCCGATCTTCTTTGAAGTCGGATCAACCTGTCGAGAAGAGTACGCTTTTGCGTACTGATATGTGTACAACGAAGACATCGTAATACGCGAGGCTGACTTGAATATTCCCATCCTGTAGACCCTTTTTATAAAGCACACTGGTGCATGCGAGACAAAGCTTCTCGGCGCATAAATGTAGTAAATGATTGGTTAGGAAATGTAACAAGATGTACGCAAAGTGAGAAGTGTTGGCGGCACTGCAAAAGATGCAGGGAAGGACAGCCAATTGTTTGGGCAAAGAGCGGGCTGTGCTGCTTCCCAAGTAAGCCTAACAAAGGGCTAGAGCTGCCACTTCCCGCGTATAAACAACTTCATCCTTGACAAAACTTGTGATTAATCCTCCAATCGTCTAGCATGTTACCCCTGGCAAAGAAGAGAAAGACAACTGATTCTGATGATGAGAACGACAAAGATGCCCCGAAGAAAAACAGAGCGACTCTCGCATCTTTAAGTAGATCCGTCACGCCACCATTGACTTCCCGCGACAGACTACGAAACAATGATCGACACGACAATCAAACCGATCACACTGATCGTACATCGCACAGTATCGACAGCATAAAATGCAGGAAACCTCATGATGAACTCAAAATCAATAATGCTGAGGAACAGCCTCGCATCATACGCTCACCCATACAGCTCACGCATATCAGAGATCTCCCTGCCGACAAGAATATCGATACAATCCAACTACACGACATCCTGGGCGATCCCATGATTCGGGAATGCTGGCAATTCAATTACTGCTTCGATATTGACTTTCTCATGGATCAATTTGATCAGGACGTGAAAGATCTTGTGCAAGTAAAGATAGTGCACGGGTCGTGGAAACAAGACTCTGCAAATCGAATTCGAATAGATGTACAGTCAACGCCACCTCTCATGGGTGTCAGTGGTACTAATTGCTTCCAGGAAGCATGCGCTCGCTATCCCAATGTTGAACCTATTGTGGCCTATATGCCGGAGCCATTCGGGACGCATCATTCGAAGATGATGGTCCTTCTTCGTCATGATGACCTTGCCCAGTAGGACTCTCTAATCTGGGGTTTGACGTATCATCTGACTTTACTTTAGGGTCATCATTCATACAGCTAACATACTTGCCGGAGATTGGGCGAACATGTCACAGGCTGTCTGGCGATCGCCGCTTCTTCCTCTATCTCCTGGAGGAAATTCTGAAGCTGACGAAAATACTTTATTCGGGACTGGAGCGAGGTTCAAGCGAGACCTGTTAGCCTATCTTAATTTTTATGGAAGAAGGAAAACAGGTTCGCTAGTTGATCAACTCCGAATATTTGACTTCCGAGCAATTCGCGCCGCCTTGATAGCCAGCGTTCCATCGAAGGAAAGACTTGTCAGAGCAGACTCGAGTAGGTCGACCTTGTGGGGCTGGCCAGCTTTGAGAGATACTCTCCGTCAAGTTCCTCTGGACGAGAATGAACGAACTAGAAGTCCACATGTTGTGGTACAGGTATGATCTAATTTGGCAATCCGCGATTTCCTTTCATTCTAAACTCTTCAGGTTTCTTCCATTGCATCTCTTGGCCAAACAGACAGATGGCTTAAAGACATTTTCTTTGATAGTCTTTGTCCGACCTCAGTCTTACCTCCCACTAAAAAAACTCAGAGGCCTAAGTACTCGATAATATTTCCTACCCCCGATGAAGTACGGAGATCATTGAACGGATACGGATCCGGAGGATCTATACATATGAAGCTACAGAGTCTCACACAACAAAAACAGCTTCAATATATGCGTCCTTATTTATGTCATTGGGCTGGAGATCAGTCGAATGCTGAAGGACATGTCATACAACGAACAGATGCAGGCCGACGTCGTGCCGCACCTCACCTCAAAACCTACATCCGATTTTCAGACAAGACCAACATGGATACTATTGACTGGGCCATGATCAGTTCGGCTAATCTATCCACGCAAGCTTGGGGAGCTGCACCAAACTCTAACGGAGAGGTGCGAATTTGCAGTTGGGAGATAGGTGTCCTTGTTTGGCCACAACTGATGGTAAGTGATTCGTGGAGAAGAGACTCTGGAAGGCCGCAGATGGTACCTTCTTTCAGAAAAGATATGCCACGTCCGGTGAAAATGGAGGATGACAATTCGATTGTGGGCTTTCGAATGCCGTACGATCTACCACTTACGCCATATAGCGTACAAGATGTTCCATGGTGCGCCGCGATGAACCATCCAGAACCCGACTGGCTAGGACAGTCATGGTAGGCGTAAACAAGAGAGAAATTTATTGGCAGCTCAAAAAGAGAGAACTTCAGGAGCATACACTACAAAAATGGACTCAATGACCCTACTTGTGAAGATCGTGGATGAAACGATTCATATAGTGAACGTTGAAAAAGGCTCAGCTACATATATATAAGTTCCTTCATCTCTGGCATTGTGTCCTTGGAATCTCTTCCCTTTAGATCAATTATTCAATGGCGACATGATCGGTCTTCTTTATTTCTCTTCTTCTTCCTGCAGACCATATTTCGCCTTGAGTTTTTCAAAGAGTTCGATATACCGTTCTTTCGCTTCTTCGACGGAAAGTTCGCTGACTTTCTCCCAAGCACTGTACTTGGCAGATGCCTGTAGCGAAGAATAAAGATTAATATAGATCGCAAAAAGCACATGACTAGCACAGTTGGGAGTTTTGAAAAGAAGAAGGAACAGGATTTATTTCTTACCTCGATTTGCCAGCGACTGGGTTTATTGTCCGGGTTGATAGTCTCGCCGCTTGCCTGCTTAAACAAGCCGTAAAACTGTATTTCCAAAGAAGCAACAGTCAGTTTTTTTTGAAGCAGTGAATGGTAGCGATAGAGCAGATAAACTCGACATCGCGCTGACTTGACTTGACTGTCATATACGTACCTCAAGTTTCTCTGAGTTCGTGGCGTTGTTGAGTTTCTTGACGTCAACGGTGGCTTTTTCGAATCTCTCTTGCAAAGACATTGTGGATGGTCGAGGTAGGGAATAGATATATATTCTGCAACGCAATTTGCTGTCAGCTCATATCGCGAATCGACTCGTGTGGGCCGCAAAAAGTAATGATTTCGGATGAGATAAGCTTATTTCGTCTGTTCTTCGTTGTGTTCTGTTCATCAAACAGCAGCTGTCGAAGGGTTCTAAACTCGTCCCATCTCATCATCCCAGCAACATGGATCATATAAACAGACGAAAGCTGAAAACAGACGCCCTGGGACAACAAAACGCAACAAACGTACCTTTTGCGATAACTTATATATAGGGTTCAGATAACAAAACAACAAACAATCAGGAGAGAGCTCGAGTATTTAGACCGACGCGGGGATGGTGGGGGAAGAGAAGGAAGGGGTTCAACCATGCAAATGCAAAACTACGTAATAGATTACACTCCCGGTAAGCAAAACACTGAAGAATGTGATTGTGTCGTATTAATTACAGGCACTGAATACGGATTTATACTTGAATTAGCTAGGCACATGTCGGAACAGCCAATGGCAAGCTCTGAATGTGTAGTTTGTTGAGAAATACGTGACGACACCTACACATGGTGGTGTAATTCTGGTAATCTCCCGTCATGAATTACAAGATGATGGCCCTCGTGCCAGCTTACGTTGGACCACGTTCTTCAAGCACTCTCTCTGATGGAGTATCACATGGCAAACAACCAAATATGCGCATGATCAGATATTACCTTCGGGTCTGTTGAGTCAATCGAGCATAACCCTGTCGACAAGTCACGTCTTTCGAGAGTGAATGCCCTCGCGAACGAGAACAGACCCTTCTTATCTATGACCTGACCAAACTCCAGATCATCGCAGCCTAGACACTATCAGCTCCGAATCCTTATGTACGGATGTACGGATAAACCTGGTGATCTGGAAAGTCACCTCGGATGAACCTGTACCGCCTTACGGTCCTGAGAAAGGTGCACGCACACCCCAAGAGCTGCGCTGGTGCGGGATTAGTTGTACTCCCTATGTCGGAAATCCTCCAAAGAAATTAGCTGCAATGTACCCGAAAAACCCCCGCTTAGATTCCGGACCACCCCCATGGCTAAGCTACGGGCTCTGTACTTAGTGGCAACCCAAGCTAAGAATGCGGGGTGTAGCCAAACCGACGCGGAGTCGAAATCCGGCATCTGGCTTCGGGTACGGTCCAAGTCTGGTCTGGGAGATACTATATAACCGGGCATTATGAAGAGGTTTCTCACAAGATATCTAATGAAGCTGGAATCAGCAAGAACACACAATGACGACCACTCTTGCGTACGTTTTGGAAAATGCGAATGCGCCTTTCGTCCTGCGGGATGTCGTTCTTGATGAATTGCAACCATCTGAAGTTCTGGTTGAGATAAAGTATACGGGACTATGTCACACGGTTTGTCTCATCTTATCCGAATCATTCTGCTTTATCAAAACATTTATCTAACCTAATTGACCTAGGACATCGTCGTCCAAGAAGGCGGCATGCCAATCGGCCACTTTCCCGCCGTCTTGGGTCACGAAGGCACCGGCATAGTCAAACAAGTAGGCTCTGCTGTCCAAGATAAATCCCTCAAACCAGGCGATACTGTCGTTCTGTCATTCCATTCGTGCGGCAAGTGCAAGGCCTGTCTCAGTGACCGGCATGGCAGCTGTCCTCGCTGCACGGAGACAAACTTTTTATCTACTGCACGCGCAGACAAATCATCACCCATCTCCTTGCCAGATGGTACACCGGTCCATGGCCAATTCTTCGGGCAGTCGTCCATGAGCAAACTGGCCGTCGTGACAGAGAAGTCTGTCATCAAAATACCGTCTCAGACTCAAGAATCGGACCTGCAATATCTAGCTCCGTTCTCATGCGGCTACCTGACCGGCGCAGGCACAGTCCTGAACGAATTCCGCCCCGACCCCGAAACCTCCAAAATCGCAATCATCGGCATGGGCCCCGTCGGCTTCGCGGGCCTACTAGCCGCCAAAGCAATCGGCGTCAAGAACCTTGTTGCCGTGGACATCGTGGACTCAAAACTGGAAATAGCAGCCTCTCTCACGGGAGCACATACAATCAACAGCCTCAAACCGCCCGGTGGCGGCAGTCTATCAGATAAGATACTAGCAATATACCCCGAAGGCGTCGACTACATTCTCGATACTTCCGGTCGGMCAGCGATACTTTCGGATGCCGTGAAGGCGCTGGCGCATGGAGGCACGTTGGCGCTTGTGGGTGTGCCGCCGCCAACGGGTACGATTGAAATTAATGCGTTGGATTTGTTAACTTCGTGTAAACGGATTGTAGGGGTTATTGAGGGGGCGGCGAATCCTAAAAAGGTACTCCCTTGCCCCCATAAGTTGACTGCCTTTAAAGTGATTAACGGGTGAAAATAAGATACTGCCGCAACTCATCGATCTTTTCAATGAAGGGAAGTTTCCAGTTCGGGACCTTACCAAAATTTATCCTGCGAACCGGTTGGATGAGGCTATTGAGGATCTGAAGAGTGGAACGGTAGGTCATTCTCCTCCGCGTACTTCCGCGTAATGCATCTTTTACTGAGAATTGTATCAATGAAACATAGGTTGTCAAAGTTGTATTGTCCTGGGAAGGTATCTAGATCATGGGACTGGTGGCTATCGCGGCTGCCTACTTATGCAAATGTGATACACCATAATGTATTCTAGATTTGAGACCGCAATAAATCCAAAGAAAAAAGATTGCATTTGCCTAAATAATCTCTTCGCTATGTGTGTCATGCACTCCATCGAAAAAGGAGGTTGAAAAAATGACCAGCCTAAAGACATTGCAGGCAACCAAGTTAACGCCAAATCAATACGCTCCAGACCATGAGGGGAATAATAAACAGGAATATCAAAATATAGACAACAGAAAAAAACGCAAAAAGGCGAAGGCAACTAATAATCAACAGCCCAACCATTCTTATCCAAAAACTCCTCACAAGCTGCTTTGAGGGAATAATTAGGCCTCAAATCCTTAACCGTCATGGGGGCGCGCGTAACAGGATCAACATGAGCCTGCTCGAGATACTTAGTAATCCCCAAACGATCATAACTATGTCCGGAGATCGTAAGGACAGGATCATGCATAACCTCAAAAGTGATATTATCAATCAGATAATCAGGCACAACCCGCTCTTCTAGCTGGCCACCAGACGCAGCCTTGAACGCATCCCGGACATGCCGTATTTTCTTCTCTGCCTCTTCGCGCAGCGCCTTTTGGTCTTCATTGAATCCGATTTCCCCTATTTCGCCACTGTCCAATTGCGTCTTGAGTTCCCTCAATTCGCGCTCGAGATCAGCTTCGATTAAAGACTCCACACTCGCCAGCGTCCCATCCATCTCTCGCAGCCTGGCAGTCTCCTTTGCAGCCCAAATCTGTTGTTTTGCTCTCAAGACAATCTTGGATAGATTCTCCGTCTGCGCGTTCATGGCACTCAGACTGGCTCTATAGGCATCGATCGCAACGTCGTATGCCTCCTGCGGCCGTTGCAACTCTAAAAGAGCTTGCGCGAGGTAGAGGGAGCTCTTGAGGCTGGCAGCGGCCTTTGAGCCGCCGTGGAGATCGATTGCGATGCGAGCGTCTTGTTCGGCACCGGCCCATTTTTCGAGGCGGAGGCGTGTGACGGCGCGGTTGGTGAAGAAGCTGGGTTCTTTGGGGTTCATTTGGATGCTTTTCGCAGATCTCTTAGCAGGAATTAGGAGAGGAGAGGGAAAGAGAGGGCTCACGCTTGAGAGTACATCTCTTCTGCGCCGGCGTAGTCGCCATCTTTGAAGAGGTTGTTGCCTTTTTCTTTGAACGTGAAGGACATGACGGCTGGGTACAAACCAAGCAAATGGGTAGAAGTGGGAGCAGTAAGATAACAAAGTAGAATAAGAATAAATCGTTAATGCCGTCGCCTGTAATTAACTAACTGATTTGAAACAGCGGGAAGTTGTCGAGTGACTGGTCAAATGAGCCCAACAAACAAAAGACAAAACCAATTCGGCTATATAACATCAAAGAAGAGCGAGTGATTCATTGTAAAGAGAGAAGGAAGATTATGCTTAACATAAAAGTATTGTCAAGTCAATTTGACGGTCGGCGACCGCGGAGGAGCGCGCGGAAAATGAATTGAGGTCATCGAAAGACATGGATCCCCGCAGAATCATTCAACTCCGACTGACTAATCGCGACAAGATCGCCAGCATTCCTATGTATTACGGCGTTGAAGACATGCTTGTCAAAGAATACTTTATGCGAAACGTGAAATTGGAGTTTTGAAGAGATAGGAACATGAACCATTTAAACATATAGTTAACTAGTTCAGATGGTTTGGACCAATCAGAGTGTACCATCTATAGAATAGCTTCTCTCAGATACATGGAGCTTGTTCTAGTCAAACAGTCTGTATCGTGGCAGTATGACAAAGGAAAGTTTTTGTATACACATGTCAGCTAATCAACAGTAGTCCCAATGTCTTTAAAGTGCTTTTCAACCGGTATAGACTCATCCAAGGCGCGTTCCATCTCCAAGCGTGTCGTGCATTGGTGGTCCCGGCGCTCAGTTCGCTAAAGCCGGTGGGCATATTCAATGCTGTGGGTATTTTGCAGTAGAAAATATAAACAATCAAAAGAAAAAAAAAATTAAGCATTAAGCTTCTTCTCATAATCCGAAATCGCTTGCACCTTCGCCGCAGAACCACTCTTTGGATCAAATCGGTAGTTCAACCAATCCAAAGTCAACTTCTTGGCCAGCTCAATACCAATAACTCTTTGCCCGAAGCACAGAACCTGAGCATCGTTACTCAGAATAGAGCGCTCAACGGAAAAAGGGTCGTGGGCAGTCACGGCGCGAATGCCGGGCACTTTGTTGGCGGCGATGGCGACGCCGAGTCCTGTACCGCAGATGAAGAGACCGCGATCAGCTTTGCCCTCTGCAATGAGTTTGGCGCCCTCGACGGCGGAGTGAGGGTAGGCGGTCTTGTCTGTAAGGGAGGTTGCGCCGACGTCGACGACGGATTCGACGAGCGGGCTGTTTTCGAGCAGTTGTTTGATGGCGGCTTTGTAGTCGTAGCCGGCTTCGTCGCCGGCCATGACAATGCGGAGGGGTTTTAGGTCGGAGCCCATTGTATGTTTGTAAAGGATGAAATTTATGTAGATAGATAGTTTTTGATCGATGGTGTTTATATATAGAATGAGATGAAGAGCACAAATGAAAGACAAAGGAGGGGCTTCTGATCGTATTTATATTCACGGCTAAAGCAGTCGTCCCTGAAATACTAATACTAACGTACTGGGTCGTTGGCCTCGCTTTCTTTCTTCCAACATTAGCCCCTCCCCAGCTCTCCCCATGGATTTTTCTGGCTAACTCCACATACTAGACCTGTCTGATCGTGGGGACGAAAACAACCTGCCTCTTTGCTTGCTTGTACCCAACATTGGAAGACTCTTCGGTTCTCCACCGAGGGTCAAGGTCTATATGGCATTATTTGATAGTGACTTAGTAGATCTATCTTCTGTTCTACATGTCGAGATGCAGCTATCGATCACTTTGCCTCTTTAGATGCAAGATGAATCTGATTGAGCGGTGCCAAGTTTGGCGTCATAGGGCATTACATGTACTAGTTGGAGTCTGTCTGACTGAGATGATCCACCGATATGGAGATTTGAGGCAATTCATTGGGTACTCAATTTATTATCGTGATTGTTTTGTGACTAGCAGGAAGAGTATACCTAGGTATGGTATGCGAGGACATTGCCAGAAGTATGCCTTTACCCGGACCAACTCCGTGTTGAAGACTATGGAGTCGCATGTGATGCGAAAACAGCCACTTTATATCCACAACCAGATGGATTTGTTTGAGCTCCTGTAGGTGACTAGATAGCGAATCTAACGGCTAATACTAACAAATAAAAGAAAACAGGAAAGAAAAGAGAACGGCATCCTGCTTCAAGAATAGGTGAATTGACAACGTACGTATTCCGTACGTATCGGATGCTGGCTGCAAGGTGACGCTATGACGGCATTTCCTATTGTGGCGATCCCATGTTACGTGATACACGTATCATTACAGCCAACGTGTCTGGCTGCGACTCGTGACGAAGACACTTTTGTGGCAGTTTGCAGAGTGGATCAGGCACACTGGGCTGTTCACGGACCTAGACCGTCGAGAGTGTATGGCTGGCTAAGCTGCGTGTTTTGATGGGCAATTCTAATGTGGAAATGTTTTTTTTCCCCGCTGCATAGTGTAGAGTAAGAGAGATGTATTGGAGTTACCGACTGCTCGGCGCATCTCCGTGGTATACTTCGCTAGACACGGCAGTCGGCGCCGACTCCGAGTTGCCCGTCGGCTTCACTGTTTACAGTTCCTTGACACCCAGAGACGGTAAAAGCATTCTAGGATAGCTTCGAAATCATTTCTCCCAGACCGTAAGAGTCAAGGCACAGCTCATTGAACATCGCACATCCCCAGAAACCACTTCCGCCCCAGATTATCCATTCCACCTCTCCACGGCCTAAGAAAAGCGGGCCAGGGCCTCTCCATATTTCATACCAGCAACCCCGCTATCATTACGGCCTACCAGGTACATATTCTACTCTGAAATCATATGCAATCAGCCCAAGAATAATGTCCGTTGAAACATATATCTGACCCGATCATCTCTAGGATCGCGAAATCTCGCAGATTACTTGCTCATCCCTCCGCACACACCGTCCACGGAGCACAGTACTGCGAATCGTAATTGACATCATTGTGGATAACGGCAACAAGATTATCGCTCATATCGCTGCGACAATAGCCAACCATCAGGATCGACTTCATCCGTTCTGCTCCGAGGGGTTTCACCTAAATCAGATCTTACGACTCAAGACTCTCGACGCGCAAACCAATTGGCCATTCTTGACCGACGAAGGATCAGATATCATTCCAACTATCAGTAGAGCGAATCAGAACAACTATGGCGACCACAGCGACCTACCCGGTCCTACCGCAAAAGCTACTCATAATCTCCCTGAAAATGTACTTTACGCCCTCTCGCACCCTCCAGTATCTGCGCGACCTCCTCGACCCGCAAAACGAAATCGTACTAGCCAAAAACCGCTCAAAGCTACTCCTAGCCCTGATCCCGGATTTTCTGACCATCTACCCGTGTGCTGAAATTATTCGGGAATGGGAGTCGAAGTTACCTGCAACGGAGGACCAAAAGGGTGTGCCACCGCCGTTTCTGTTGGGTGGTCAGGACTCGTTTTGGGAGGATTTGGGCGCGTATACGGGTGAAGTTTCGCCGTTGGCGCTTCGGGAGATTGGTGCCTCGCTTGTTGAATTGGGGCATGCGGAGCGTCGGGATTTGTTTGGTGAGACAGATCAAATCACAGGTAAAAAAGCGGCTGCGGTATCGAGACAGGGTCTGATTCCGCTGGTGTGTATTGGTGAATTGAGTGCGCCGGGCCAAGTCGCCTCTGAAGCTGTCGGACTGGCAGTCAGGGAATGCGAAACGCAGATCCGTGCTGTGCTCAAAGCGTTGCCGGATCATGCGCCAGTCATCTTTGCATATGAGCCTGTCTGGGCTATCGGAAAGCCGCAGCCGGCGGGTGTTGACCATGTTGCGGCTGTTGTCGCAGGAATAAGAGCTGTGATTGGAAAGAGGCAAGGCGACGTTAGAGTTTTGTATGGTGGAAGTGCTGGACCGGGCCTGTGGAGTGCAGGCGGCTTGGGCAAGGCTGTTGATGGGATGTTTTTAGGGAGGTTTGCGCATCAGGTCGAGGGTGTTAGGAAGGTTGTCAGAGAGGTTGAGGAGAATTTGTCGTAGTCTCCTCGAATACATCACTGCGTAACGTGGATGATAATAAAATAATTTATAATGATACATATAGAATGCTAATTTTCAACTCTATGTCTTCTTCAGCTCTCGAAGCTCATTCTTCACACGTGTGACGGTGCCTGTTCCACCATACGTGATAGCAGTATACATCATCGCAACCGACGCACCCGCATCAAGAACCTGCTGTGCTTGCTGCCCATTCGTAATACCACCCGACGCAAATATCGTCTTTGGCGACTCCGCGTCACTTAATTTCTGCTTATAACGGGACACCAACGCTACCGTGCGCTCAAACAACTGCGGACCAGAATAGCCGCCCGTCTCGGTCAGAGTTTGTTTTTCTTTAGACGATAGAGCATATCCGTTAGGTAGCGGGCCAGGCCGTCGGTTTGTCGTGTTGCCGACGATGACGCCGTCGACGCCGGATTCTCGGACCGCGTGGCAGATACCATCGACTTGTTCTTCGGAGTCTTCGTCGGGGCTGACTTTGACCATGACGAAGGGCTTGGTCTTGCGGTCAATACGTTTTGCGGCGCCTACGACGCCCTTGAGGATTTCGGTCAGGGGTCCTGCTGCTTGCAGTCCCCGTAGACCTGGAGTGTTGGGACTCGACACGTTCACGACCACAATGTCTGCGTACTTCGCAAGTCGATCGACGCAATATACATAGTCTCCCGTGACAGCAGCAATATCCGATTCCGGTGTAAGTTTATTCTTTGCGACCTGAACGGCAAGCAATTTGCCCTCATTCAAACTTCCCGGCGGCACGCCAGCCTCGCCGTTCAACACGCGCTCTTCCCCGACATCACTATAACCAAATCCGCAGGCATATGCGAATTCTCGAACACGCTGTTTCAGGACCTTGGCCATGTGATCGGCACCCTTGGAGTTGAGACCATATCGGTTAATCATTCCTGATTGCGAAACTACCCTGAATACTCGTGGTTTGGGATTGCCATCTTGAGGCAATGGAGTGGTGCCTCCGACTTCAACAACAGCTGCACCGAGGGCAAAGAGCGGGTCAGGGATTTCGGCATGTTTGTCTAATCCGCCTGAGATTCCAATGGGATTGGAAAGGGTGTAGCCGAAGACCTAATTGTATGAGTTACGAACTCAACGCAAAAATGTTAAGAGTGTGTCTTACCTCCGTCCCTAATTCTCCATCTAGATCCGGAGAGCTGCGCTCGCGCGGATGTAGACCAAGTTTGTATAACTCCTTCAACGCCGCAACACCAGCGTGATGAGCGTCCTCCGCATCCGGATACAACCAACGCACAAGTGGTACGGCGATATATCTGTGCGCGCTAGCTCGAGTATCGGTGAAATAAAGATATCCACCAAGTAAAACGACAGCCAGCGAAGTGCGGAATATGAATTTTCGGACTGGCGATTTCTTATTTTTCTTTGTTATTGTAGCGATTGGTTCCGCTTCAGTGGACGCGAATCGTTTGCTGAAGCATGGAGTGGCTCGAGGGATTTGCGGTAAATAAGCTCTTCTCGAAGCGAACGAAATGCCCTTGATATGGTGTAGCCGTGGCATGTAGGTGGCTGCCATTTTCTGAGGATACAGGTGGAATTGGAACCTGCGCGTGAGATCGATTGTTAGCACTTCCATGATTCTTATTGAGAACTAAATGCAGTAAAAAGGCTTCAACCGACTCACCCACAATTTCTCACTGCTCACTAGATATACAAGAATGCAATTATAGGTCTGCAACCAACAATGAAGCCAATTGGCCCAGAATATCTAGATATCTGAAGCTCTTCATTCTTGAGTTTGCGCGAGAAAAGTTACGTCGATGTGGGATACATTCCAGGGCGGTGAGCTTTCTGCCGCAAACAGCTTCTATTCTAGTTCAGCCAATCAATGGTCTGTATGATTACCCTAGCTAACCCTAAATAATGTGCCCTAAGTCTGTCTTGCGATGATATCTAAAGTGACTTTCTATCGCAGGATTATGCCGACTGTTTTTTGTTCACTGATATTTTATCTTAATTGAGATTAGATTGAAGACGGTCCAGAGAATAGCTTCGACCTAGAGGCCACCCTGTCAATGGTCCCATTTAGAACGAGGCGAATACGCACCGAAAGGAGAAAGGACTTTCATGATGTTTGACATCTAAAGGACTCAGAGCAAGCTTACTTACTCATACAGACACCGTGGACTGCCAATATTAGGAATCGGAGGCGGACATCATTTGAAGCAAAATCAAGTCGCGCCTTAGATCTATGCAGGTTACATGAGCTTCACACTTCCTACACAAGAAGTCCAAAGTTCAATAGATCACTTGCTCAAACTGATGATATCGCTATCCTCAAGCCAAGCCTTGTCATACTGCATCGGTTAGGGACAGATAAGCCAGATGACCGAGTTCACTGCTAGTCTCGTGAGATATGCGATCACCGAATCAACATTTGAGCGCATTGAGTTCGCACAATCACTGAGACAGCATATGCCGTGTCGTAATCTATGCCCTGATTAGCTTTGAGTCTATTCGTACTCTGAACCAAACCTCAAAAGCAGTTGATTCGTTAGAAACACCTTTAGTGAAGCAGAAGGTCGTACGACAGTCAAAAGAGGGAACCACAACATAGGTCATCTTTCAATGAACCTCTGAGACAATACACCGGATTTTACGCACCTACATCACACAACTAGCTTCGTTCAGTCAGATCGATGAACCATCCCGCTGGATTTGAGATGAAATGGGGTCACAGAGCAACCTTTCATGCTGCAACATACGCGCCTCGGATTTTCATACCACTCGTGGATATTAATCTTCAATCTGAAGGATTTGGAGGATTTGGAATTTGAGTTACACCAGAATGTAAAATGAAACAAGATCTCCATAGCTATTGAGAATTCAGCATTATGACACCGAATCTGAGGCTTCATTTAGTGAAGCATTGAAACGCGAGGCAGGCGGAAATGATCAAAATGTATAGGAATCAGTGTCTCATTGGCCAAATGACTCGGTCATTTGAAATTAACAGAAACCTAGAAAATTCGTGCTAGGTGCAGACCATTAGCTTGGAGATCTTCGACTGCTATTGAGGTTCTGTTAACTGATTTGGGAAAGTACACGCTTTCTATCTATCATTTTTTGAGCATTTGAAGAGAGAATACTAGAGTAACACTTAATCGGTATTTCAATCAAGACCTTTCCAACTCATCATGGCTCGTTTAAACAAACTTATTGATAGAAAAGAACGGCAAGCGTGAAGAATGCGGTCGAATTACCCAAAGCAGCCCGAATTTCGTTCAATGACTAAATCTCAATTTTTGATCTCGCATCAATGCCTTTTATGGAAAAGCTTTGAATCCTGTTCTAGCAACACAAGAGTGACAAAGACAAATGAGGGAAGGGAATAATAGTCTTGTGATCTCGTCTGAGCACATGCTTTGTCCGACAGTCAGAGTCAGTATACGAGAAACATAGCCAGATATGGATTGCAATGGCTAAGTTATTACCTAAATCCATCATCCTCTTCCAATTTCTGTGCTCCCATCTCATATGCGGCTTAATCTGTTGTCGCCAATACCTGTCTAGTTCTGATGAATGGTTGGTAGACAGTAGAGAAGATAGCAGAAAACTTTCGAAATACGTACTGCAGATGCTACGTAAGCGTGCCGGATAAAATTTTTAGTACCTTCAGAGGCTCGTCTGTAGATCTGAGGTAACCTAGTCCTCGTATTCCTAGACTAATGCAATGAATGCAGGCAAAACTCGGAGTAGCAAAAACCTTAGATACACCAGAATTTTCCGACTATGAGTGTCGTCTTGTATAAGGATAACTATACAAGGATGAACCGCACATACAGATGGACAATTTTTCAGTGGAAGGAGCAGGGATTGTATGTGGTAACACGAAGGTTAGCGTCACCGGATTTCTCATAGATGCAGATGCTTGAAGGTCCTTTGATGGAATGAAACAATTTGTAATACTGCATGAGAATATCACTGGTACCTACCGAAGTACTAGATCTGCAGCTCATCCCAATTATACCTAGGTATTAACACTGCACTGCATCTACATGGATGAGTATGTCAAGATAGTCAAGCCCCTTTTTGTCTGTCATTTATTGCCCTTATCCGCATCTGGAGTAGTATTATCCTCCAATGAAATCTGATAAAAGAGGTGCATTTCCGAGTATCGTCAGATAATTGAGTCTTGTAGTCTGGCTGGACATGTCTCATGGACTTGCATGAGAACAGCCAGCTGAGGTGACCAATTAATTGACATATGTCAACTTGCAGAATGATGAATTTTCTGCTCCAATTTGTCGCGTCAATGTCCACTTACGGTGACAGCGGCGTTCATGTCTATTGTTAATTAAGAGATTTGACAGGCCAGGATGTCTTTTTCGGTACCTATCGTAGTTGTATCCCTGCCAGGTACCTATAAATCTGTTTAATATAGGCTAGGTATGTTTAGCTAGATATACTAGAACTCTGGGATTGGAGCCTCTAATCTAAACTTCGAAAAGTAAACTTGAGTCAATTCTGATTATAATTTCTTCGGCATACATTCACACGACATGAGCACTAAATTAGTCTGTTATAGTGGTGTCATCTCGCTCACCGTCAATTACAATTGTGCTTTCCATGATAGTAGTGGGAGAGAAGAAAGGCCGCACATATGACAGTTCTTTAGCTTTGCGTAAGCGTGGACAACTCTAAGCAGACTAATCCAATTAGAGCAGAAATCGAAATCTTGACTCAACGCCACCAACAGATAGGACCAACCGCTCGTCTCCTATTTGTTACAGAATACATCCTGTTGATACCGGAAATGCAGAATATAGCCCTTTGCGGAACACAATTAAGATTATTCAGACTCGGTATCAGGAACAATGTATAAAACTTCTTACTATCAGTTCAGGAGACGCAACAACCATTGTGCCTGCCTTGAGGTAAATGAACGGTCGGTTCTTACCCGCGCGAAAGCTAGTCGAGTAAACCCTAGGGCACCGTTCACACATGTCATATATCACCATACATGTACCGCCGAACCCAAGCTATGACCAAACTTCACATGACTCAAGTAGTAGCAGATAGCTCGTAAGTAAATCCGATGACCCACTGTTTCATAAACATAGAACTAGTGACATTGCGGAATCTGCTTTTCGTAAGATCTGACTGTGCACGGCACGATCTGTCAGGAGACTTGAATCATTTGATTCATCGTTATTACTCCGAGTATCTGAGATTCTCCTGGATTGCGTTATCTTACTGATAGTAGGTAGATACATACATAGCCTAGTGGCGAATCTTGGACGGAGGAGATTTGCCGCGATCTGTAGCCCAGATCTCAAGATTCATACGAGTTCTATTAATTGCTTGAAAAGTACATGTACATCAAACCAGCGATTGGCTCGTTTCAGCCCATAATAATCCAAGTGCTATGCATTTGATATCCCAATTCAAGGATGCGAGATGCTTTGTAGATGGCCATATAAAAAGAAGATGCTGACGTTGTGCCCCTCAGTGGCATCTGATTTTCGTATATGCATCCATAGAGGGGTTAGACCGAGGTAAGTATAAGAAATCTGAGATCCATTTACAGTGATTTATAACAATGAATTAATTACTGATTAGAGATGTACTTTTTTTCAATGGTCTACTCAGTCCTAGATCTGGTCAGGGCTGACTCAGGAACGAACCATGCACTGACTGACTTCCAAATTGGGAAAAACCCAATCGGAGGCTCAGAAGACAACCTTACTGTTAACTTGGACCTTGGAATGGGAGATCATTTGTGTCAGATGCATTGCACTGATTGCGCAGTGGTCCCAGTGCATGCAAAAATGGCATTCTGGTGGAAGCAGCAGCAATAGCGGGGTTGTACGGGATCGGAAGATCTGTTTTCTACTTTCTTTTTCTCATGACTGTAAGTTAAGATAATCAAATTCTGATTTGTCTGACCTCCCCGAGACAGCTGCATGATGTAGTTTTGCTTTTTATTCTTGGAAATACGTAAATTGGGCTCAATTAAATTTGGGTTCGTCCCGTCTATTTTCAGCACAGACCGTCCGCTGGATCTCGGTCGACGAGTGGTCAGATCTGGTTTTCGGTATGGTGTGGATATAATGCATCGAGATGAGGTTCGCTCTTCTTTCTGGCTGCGCCATGGAGTATAGTGGTCTATATTGTTGCGGGTGGCTCTATATTACCGGACCCACGGATTTATTCGGCTCCCTCGGCCAGCTCGTAACCAACCAATGCTACATCATGGGGCCGGTACTTACGTACACCTAGTGACCACGGCTATACTTCCGCTCCGTAGTTTATATAGTATTTTCCATATGATGCCGGAAATTGCACAATGTAGTAGTACATCTTGCCCCAAAAAATTCCTGACGACTCGATTGGCTGATCATCTGCTTCCCCACACTAGATCGTACATAGTAAGCACGGCCCCACTTGGTCGTCCCGCTAGCGCGCGGCTTTCCCGAGATTCGTCAGGGCTTAGCTGGAACCTCTGTTCCTTATTCAGACAGACACCTTTCGACCTTTTGTTTCTTAACTCCGTGGCTGTCTTTCGTTTCTTTTCTTTTCTTCCCATCCCCCATTTTTCTTTTTCCTTTGTCTTTTTCTCCTGCTGTCGAATCGCTTAGACTACGGGTATATCGTATTGCGGACTGCGGGCGCAATATTCACAGGGAGAATACGAATTTTCCACTAAAGATTTCATGGTATGTATCGCAGTGGCTAGTGTTCCATCTCTATCCATCACATATCGCTCGGGTGTCCTTAGCACTGGAAATGTAGACCCGTTTGACTGGACCCTTCCCCCCACACCACCTTGCTAGCCCTAGTTTGCGGCTTTTTACGCTCCTAGCTCGTCGCACTAACTCATTGACTGTCTTTTGACCACACCACCTGTCATAATCCTATGGATACCACGTCCGTGGTAGACTGTGTAAGGTTTGGGTAAGCTTAATCACACAATCACACCGCACAGAACGTGGCTTTTATCAGTGGCGTCGCTAGCAAGTGACACGACCACACGCTCTTCCTCAGACCTAAAATTTCGTACTCGCGCACGTAAGTATTTGCATACTTGCATATTATTTTTTTCTCTCGTTTTCCCTTTCAGTAGCCCGCACAGCCAATTGAATAACAGTCACTTGTGGCTGGCACCATTGACAGTTAGCTGCAGATCAGTCAGTGAAATACAGCGAAGACCCTCATGTCAGCCATTAATACCTTACGCTGATTTGACGGCTTTGACACCGCCGCTTCGTATTTTGTGCCAATTATGCTTTGAGTTTTACCATGGTGACGGGTAATTTGAGTACACATTGTTGTTATAGGCTATAATTTGTTTTCTTCGGGTTGCACGACGAGCACCTTCAGAATCTCGTCCCACCGGTTCTCCTCTTAGATTTGCCAGACTCGTCTCAAATTCATCTCAGAACCTTTTATAGATAGAACTTTCTGCTTAAAGATATCTCTCGAGTAAGACACTGACAAAGAATTAAGAATTAATTGGTCGTTTTTGTACATTTGGGCACCCAAGGCTATATGACAACAAGGCTTTTCTTCTGCTCGCTCGTCGTAGTACTTCCACAATCCCCTCGCACCCCGGTCAATTTCAGACGCTATTGACGATCCTGCAAATAGGCTCGCTGCAGATCCGCACTGATCAAGCTAAGCACTCAGCATTGATCAATCAACGAGCGTTGCCGCACATGACACTGGTGCTGTAAAGTAACGCGGGTGCCGACAGATAACCACCTCCCTGGGCTGTTATGGACGTGTGTTGGCCCATGCTTGTTCCTGTCTGACAAGTCAACAATGAGATTGAACATAGACTGGTGGAACGAAAATAGATAGAACGACCAGGGAGCACAGTCTTGGGAAGCTTAGCGGGAAACATTAACACATCATGTTTCTTGATTAGCAGTATGGATAAAGCTTGCATTACATGTTGGATCTGAATGTGGCTGGCGCAAAAACTGCTGCTGGCATGACTCTCATTCGGCGCTCTTCGAATGGATTTTCTTGCACCGCCCATTGACTGGCCCAAGGACGTCGCAAACATCCGATTGGGTTAGAGTGTTGGCCTATCCGGGAAACATTAGGCGGCCCAAATTGAGCAAGTCAGTAATTAGGAAAGTGTATGGATAGTTCAGAGTGGAAATGATAATACCGTCCAAGATTATGCATGGATGTGCTACTATGAGCGGGTCCTCGTCAGTACGTATCTAGCTTTCAAAGCTAGCACTTCTCCTGCATCCTAAGTGCGAATGCGAGTTATAGTTTCTCCATGTAACAAGGCCGTAGTAGTCCACGCTGCAAGGTTAATAGGGAGTCGACAGAATCCCTTGTGAGCGTGCCAATGATGTTTCTCGTCGAATGAACCAGTAAGGTTATCATGGAGACAAGTTCTCAGCCTATACGGAGAGCCCACTCAATCACGATCGGAAGGAGATCTTGGAAAGTTGGAACTCCATCTTGAGTTGTGTTTGACAGATTGAAGCGCTAGTCAGGATCCAAGAACGTCACGGATGTGTGTTTTTCTTTTTGCCTAGAACGCCACCCCCAGGGAAATCCTTTTTAATTCCCCTCCCGATGACACTATTCATTCGTTGCAAGCTCTCTCTATATTTAACCCACGACGCTTCTCCTTTCCCTAAATAAATTGATCATTCTGGTCCAGCAATAAACCGACTCAAAGGGGAAAAGAATAAAGTGCCGAAGAGCCAGCGAGCCACATTACTCAAGAACAAGCAGCCTCACATTCGTTTATCTTTCCAAGTCTAGGCAGCTTCTTTCACAACTCAACCCACCTGTCTCACTCATTTCTTGCTGCTGATTTTTCTGTTGCGAGCCCACAAAAACTCTATTCCAGAAGGATCCAGTGACAACCGAATAAAAATGATCGCCCAAAGTCACTTGGCTCCTTTAGAAGGACGTCATCATTATCAACATCCTCTTCACCACCCTGAAGTAGTCCAGCAGCCGCGCCGTTTTGCCTGCGATCGCTGTCGTATGCAGAAGTTGCGATGCGAGAGGGACATCTGGAGACCCTCTCTCATGCCATGCAAGCGCTGCCGCAAGGCACGTATAGCATGCACCATCAGCTCAATGGATCGTCCTGTGGGTAAGAAGAAGTCGAAGGATAGAGTTCTAACAATCACGAGGCCCGAAAAGACAGCCACGATGAGGCACCCACCCCACCGTACGCAAGGGGGACCATCATCGCCAGGCGTACCTGACCAGCTGCCGATGGACAACACCGTCGGCTTCTACCATGAAGGAGTTCCAGATGGAATGACAATCGTGGGACTAGGCTTCCAGTCGGAAGAATGCTATCAAGTCAACAGCGGGTTTGAAGACTGTACGGTGCCTGTCTTTTCGGGCTTGATAACGCCTCCTTCGATGGAGAATGAGCACGAGCACCAGGCACCATCGCAGGCGACGTCATTTTCAATGGCCAGAAAGCAGGATTGGACTCCTGAGAGTGATTGCAGTAAAGTTTCGGATGGATTTGAGCTTGATGACCGTAAGCTTTAAACCCGTCTGTCATAGTTCAATGACTTGTGTGTCAGTTGACGAAAAACTAATGCGACTCATTACAGCGTTCCCTTGCCTCGACGATAGAGAGCAGTGGTGGGATCAAGAGAATCTGCGAAGATTGCTTGATATGAATATGCATCTACTAGATTGCCAGAGCCTAATAGCGCAAGAACTCACCATGCTCGGAAATATGGATGCGATCATCGCCTTGAACAACCTCGATTCAGCATCACGAACTGTGTTGCGTTATTCACAACAATTCCTTGAAGCTGTGAGAGTGTTCGTCGATGGCGGTCTGGAAACAATGGCGACAGTACTTTCCAGCTCAATGGCGGTAAACCCTTTTATCCCGCAGATTCACACGCCTGTCAACTCACGGCGCCCCTCGTATGTGCAACAAACACCGGGCTCAGCGATSGAGCCGATATTGGTATCAGGAGGAGATACTACCATGCCCCCTCAAATCAGTCCCGTTGCTTCATTTACAACTTCGTCTGGTCAATCATCTTGGCAGGGAACACCTTTCGAAGACGTCCAAGTTTCCCTGATATTAGCCACCATCAACTGCTATACCTGCTTGGTGGGCAGTTATCATATCATCCTTTCCTATCTCCTACACGAATTGATGGCCACCGTAACTCCGGAACAACAGAGTCAGTCTTCACCGACTTTCACGGGCTTTGCTGCCGCATTCGCTGCCACCGCTCAGATTCAGCAACATGATCGGGACTCGCAACTTCGATTGATTTATCGCAACTGTATGGGTATGCTGGCACAGCTCGAAATAAGCCTCGGTCTGCCAGAACAGCACTGCGTTGCTTCATGGGCATTATCTTTCCCAGGTGTTGGCCAACCTCATCGTCACGAAGGGATCCTTTCCAGCCCTGTAGCTGCGGTCCTTGTTGGAACCCTTGTAAACCAAAAATTCGGATTATGCGTCAACGGTTTGTCGACAGGAAAGAACTCGATGAAGGAAGTCATCTCAACTATCAACCAGTTCTTCGATACTGTTCATCCCATCGCTCAGGCTGTAGGCACAATCAAACCATAGCAAGACAACGACGTCAGTCATTGGTTCTCAACTTACCTGTTGGTATTCTTCTTCCCTTTTTGTCTCTCGATTCAAAGAGAAACACATGTATTTGATAATTATTTTTTCTTGTGTTTTTCGTTTTTTTCTTTTCTTTCTCAATCCTTTGTTACCTCAGCTTCGCTGGGTTTATATGTCTTTCATTTTGATGGGGCATCGGGGAAATGGTAAAAGAAAGGAAAATACCATTAAAAAAGATTCGAGACTTGTGGAGTTTGGACCAGGATATGGCATTTGGGAATGGGACCTAATGTGGGTATACAGATCCACCGGTATGGGGATCTTGAATGGATTATGAAAACGGATGTGGATGTGAGCATGAAGTATTAAAAACAAGGATATGGATATGAATAATGGAAATGAGATGGATATGGGCGCGGATATTGCAGATGGGGACTTTGAATGACGCTCTGCATGGATGCGGACAATTGGCGTTTGATACGCATCATTTTATTTCTCCCCAACAGTTTCGTCTTTCTTGAAATCTTGAACAGCTTGATTCGAACTCAAAGTTTACTCAACAAAAGGCGAAACATCTCTATGTAGGTCCCTCAAGCACTAAGTGCACTAACAATGCCGAGCATGATATGTACATCTCTATATATGCTCAAAACCCCGATACGGACTTCCTTCAAGGTTTGTATGGATCTGTCAATCGAAATCAATAGAGACTTATAATAAAGAACCGTCCCCTGCATCCGGTAATGTTTAATTGTTCTCAATAAGAATTAAAGTTCGACTTTTAGGAGACACGTTTGTCTGAATCGCCACAGTCTATGTTCTATGACTGGTAAATCAGACGATATGATAGCCCCTCGCTTGGTATCATCGCACATTCGAAGGCATTTTTACTTATATCCTACCGAAGGTAACAATTTGTATGTCAATGGGGACGTAAAACCTACTTCGGTGGATAACTCTCATTCTGTTAAATTGTCTACACGTACCTAGGTATACCGCAAATCACGAACAGAAATAGAATGTAAGATTATGCATGTCATCAACTTTTTTTTCCTTTTCTCTATCAAGGGGCAAAGCCAGGTTCATTCCACAATGTTTCTCCGTTCGAACCACGTCACTGAATGCGGAGAGAATTGAAACTCAAGGATTATTCGTTAATTGTCTGGAAAGTTTCGAACATGGCTAAACTACAAGGATTTCCTGGTCCAGGGGTGGAAATAGAACGTAATACTCCTAATAAATTGCCTAATAAAGTAAGTATAGGCGAATAACCATCACAGGACTAGGCGAGCTATCAATTTCAAAAATCTGGGTTCAGGAGAAACTTGCTCGTTGGCACATCTTGTTCACATTACACATCTCAGGATTATTGTTGTTTGCCATGTGTAAGACGTTACATGACACGAGACACAAGTCGGTTAGAACAGAGTTCGAACAGATGGGATGACGTATTGAGGTAAGTATGATGATATACTCTGGTTTTCTTTTCATTAACCCTCTATCCAATGGTCGACGCTGTAAAATGCAAATGGTGTAAAAAGATGACCCCATGAGCCCTCAAATCTGGGTTCGATGCTGCTGCACTTTGCAAAGTGCAGACATGGTACACATGTATCACTTACAATAGCTTGAAGTTCAGATCGACAATAATATAGGTGTGATTGGTCGATGCATGTGACAAGCCTATCATCATCGATTTTTCTAGAGCTAACTCAACATCTGCAACGACTATTGAACAGGCAAATGTGATCTATCTATAACGAAGAGCGAAATAGTCACCGACTCTCTCTAGAGTAATTATTATACTTATCATGTGTAAGGTGACGACCGATTACCAATTTACGCCAATTGTGAAAGCCTATGAATTGTTAAGAAGCACTGGTCTTGTCGAAATATACTTAGTGCTGCCTTATTCAAGAGTGCTTTAATCACAATTTTCTCTTCGGAGTGTCGAGATTCTCGGTTGGGATATTGATTGTATGTGTCACATTGTTACGGCGGATTGATCAGGTGCATGTTCATGTATTTTTAGGGGGGATAGTCAAGTGAGTGAAATCAGAGAGTATACGTACATAAATATGTAAACAGGGACGTATGTAAGTGTTGATAGTCGACAGAAAGTATTTCCATATTTGTACATGCCTCGTTTAGATCCGCTTCCCTCCAGGAATAGTAAGGCCATAAAGCATATGCCTCGGAAGCTCTTTGACGACGTCGAGGTTCACAACTCATCAAATGTCTGGAGTCACACGGCAAACTCAGCCAAACGACCATCCGTATCCCTTTAATATGGGATTCAAAACCAAAGTTTCTATAGGGCATACCAGCGGGTTGTCGCGGAGGAACACCTACCTAAGCGAAAGTGTCTAAGCGCTGACTGTACGCACAAGCTGGTAACTTAAACGAGATGCGTGCCCCATTGTCTTCCTCTGCATTGATTAAATGTTTTTCAGACGATTAAATCATTGGATATTAATACTAACGGTTGGTAAAGGAAATCGCAAGTCTTCGATAATGCCCACTTGAGGGCCAACCACGGCAGAGTTGAAGCGGAAGTCAAATTCCGCTTTTCAGGCCCATTTATAAGCAACATTTTCAAATGTTGATGCATTTGAATCATGCCTGGAAAAAAAAATTCTATTAACTGTTTCCAACGAAAGAAGCTGCCCAAATATCCTCCACCATGTCTCATCTTCAGTATTTTGCCTACAAGGGTGTCGGTGAGAGAAACCAGCAAAAGTTCAGCTACAGCCAAGCTGTCCGAATTGGCGATCGCATTGAATGCGCAGGCCAGGGTGAGCATTCCGCTTCAGTTATTTTCTCTTCTTCATATTGCTGAATCTCTGAATCTCTAAAAGGTGGATGGAATCGTGAGACTGGAGAGTTCTTCCGCGAAATCAACGCTCAAATTGACCAAGCGTTCGCCAACGTTGAACATAACCTCCGGGATGCTGGTGGCGAAGGCTGGAATCAGGTTTTCCGCGTTAATTCTTACCACGTTCCTATTAATGATGAGGCTATAGCTGCCATGGTCCGCAATTTTAAGAAATACATGCCGGATCATCAGCCCATTTGGACGTGCGTCGGCGTTACTCGTCTCGGCGAGGATGACATGCGGGTTGAAATCGAAGTTGTTGCACATGTACCGAATTGATCGCGGTCGGTCGTCTTAAACAATTGTTCTTGTGTTGATAAACAAAATTCTTTGTGTGAGATGGAAAAAATACTCATGGCATGTTAGGGTAAGGGCGTCAACTTATACCTTCGGCGCAAGCTTACAGTCTCTCTGCAAGTGTAATTGTAAATAAACGAAATTATTGTTCCGGATAGGTGAAGGTGACCTGTCATTGCCTTCAATGTTATCAATCCAATGCGCATAAGTAGGGTTTTCTGTATCAATTTGTGTTAGGGTTGGATGAGCAACTTTTAGGGCATCAAGAATCACGAGTATCTGGCGATCTGATTGGCTGGATCGGGGTCTTTCTGGGCTTAGCAATACTACTGCAATAGTCTGTGCCTGTAAGCCCCAACATGCGATACCTGATTGGTTATAGCAGGCCTATCTTAGGCTATCTATCAATCTATAGTAAACCCAAAATTGAAGACTTTTAAACTGCTCATTGGCTAATCTAACCACCTGCGGTCAAATGTGGATCTCCATACCCAGGTACGTAATGACATGATAAGAAGCCGGCCGGCCGGAGAGGAATCGAGTACGCCGACACAGTTGAATAGGTAAGCAATTCCACTCCTTCTCTTCCATACTGGACGGGTATATGTTGGAAATAGGATACTGCACGCTTGGAGAAAATGATTATCAAGGTCATCTACTAGCTTAATCTAACGAAACCTGTAAAAACAGTATGAGAACAAGATATATGTCATTGTAAATGTCAGATCAGTAATGATGACTACGTGTAAGTAATTCGCGCCCCTCGTGCCCTAGACTCAAAGCTTAATTAATTAAAAACCTTCTCCGTGATTTTCCATCTAAGGCTTATTTAGAACCGGGACCTTCAGGAACCTTAATCTCTCATCACACCAAGCGACGCATGCGGTCAAATGTGGAGATCGCAGCCTTAGTTGAATACGTGGTAGTTACCGTCTCTTAGTAATGATATAATTTAGAAGAAACTGAGAGGCAAATTGACATATAAAACGAGCAACAGAGCCACGACTTTTATCACAATCAAAAACCATTAAGTCTTTCAGAAGAGGCAGATCTCTTTTTCTTTCTCTTCCCCAAGCTCCGCTGAAAAAGTTCGTCTGCAACCATGGGCATCGACTTCACATATTTTAAAGGCTCCGGCAATGGAGAGGTGGTTGAGGCAGCAGGTCATCGTGATCTGGGACCAACCCAAGTCAGTGTTAAGATAACACACTGTGGTGTTTGTGGCACCGATGAACATTACCGTCACGCTGATCAGGGCCTTGGACACGAAGGTATCGGAATTATCACCGAGATCGGGTCTTCCGTGCAAGACTTGTCAGAATTTCGAGTTGGGGATCGAGTTGGCATGGGCTGGTACCACAAGTTCTGTGGTCATTGCAAATACTGCGTATCAGGTATGCCGGCCGAGGTGATGGCAACTTCACCCGCTGATGCTGACGATGTCAACAGGTCGCCAGACACTATGTATCAACCGCACCTCCTACGGTACTGCAGACGGGGACCAGGGATGCTTTGGGACAGCATTAGCTTGGGATATCTCTGCTTTGTACAAGATCCCCGACGCGCTTTTATCTGAGGATGCTGGCCCCCTGATGTGCGGAGGAGCAACCGTGTGGACTCCTTTATACGACTCCGGAGTGAAGCCTGGAGACCGCGTCGGCATCATCGGGATTGGTGGTCTAGGACACATGGCAATACAGTTTGCCTCCAAAATGGGACTCGAGGTTGTCGTGTTCTCAGGCACGGAGTCAAAGAAGCAGGAGGCGCTTGACTTTGGAGCATCGGAGTTCCACGCTACCAAAAATGTGGAGTCGTGGGATTCCATCCGTCCCCTGGATATTCTAATGATCACCACAAGCGTTAACCCAAATCTGCCGTTGTAAGTTTTGATGTTTCTCTGTTTGATCGTTAATAAGTGCTCACTTGCGGTTTTCAGGTACTATCCAATCTTGGCCAATGGGGCAAAGATTTTCCCCCTCACGGTCAGCACTGAAAACTTGGATGGTGTCACGCCACTGAACCTGATCACCGGGAACTTCAGCATTATCGGGTCTGGCGTTGCAGCCACTGCAAGTATGAGAACTATGTTGGATTTTGCCGCCAGATACGGGATCAAGCCGCAGATTGAAAAGTTCCCAATGACCCTTACAGGTGTCCAGGATGCTATGCAAAAGCTGAGGGATGGTAAAATGAGATACCGTGGAGTACTTGTGGCTCCCTAGTATTGCGAAAACATATCAGTAAGATATTCTGGGCCGAATTTGATCCGTTTTTGTATGTGCTGAGAGATGTATGCGTGTTCCAACATAATTTGGGACTGGGCAACTTTCTCCCGAAATCTCGCTGTGCGGTTAAAGCAAGGTTGCCTCAAGGTGCACTTGTCATAGATCGTTTCTTTCTTCGGTCAATCAATTATCTTACCTCTTTATATCAATTGATCACGTTTTTTTTTTTTTTCGTTCGTCAATGGTGCCTACTTGCACCTAACCATTTTTAGGATCTATGTCATAGTCGTAAGGGTCTATATTTGATCAAAAGACTTATAGATAGAGAAAAATATGACAGCCATATGCACATATATCGATGTACGGTTGTATGGTTGTATGGTTGTAGGTAGCCTTTACTAGCATAGTGCAGAATGATATGATACAGAACCAATACTTGTCTCCTTATAAGCCCTCAATCCGGCAGTGTGACAACGCTTCCACCGTGGGAGCTCCTTTCCAAGCAACGACGAGAAGATTTTCATAGCGATCGAGCTTACGCTGCGGAGCAGCTTGCCAGCGTTCAAGAAGCTGCCCGTGCGTTATAATGGTGTCTCTTGCCACATCTTCGAAGTCTACATTTTGAGAGTCCCATAGCCCTGGATTGGCGGATAACGGCAGGKGATTTAGTGCACCGTTCTCTTTGCAGGTACCCGCTCTGAAACTCCAATACACTGTATATAACTTGAAAGAGAACAGGACAGCCCGCCGAACACTCTCCGCGAGAACCCAAGTCTCCCATGTGGTGGGAGGCATTGGTAGTTCTGCCTCTGCTTGACGAAGGAGCCGCAGGCCAATCGACCTCACAATGAATTCCTGCTGTTCTGCCGCCCACTGCTCTTTCATGTCCCCATAGAAGACCCTCACGATTTGATACAGAACTAGGGCCTGAAACGCTGCCAGTTTCTCAAATAGAGACCCAGTCAACGGCGAACGTAGCAGGCTGAGCACTTCCGCATCCACAGCCTGGAATATCAGAGGACGTGTTTGCTGGTTCAGCGACAAGGTCGCGGCACATATACCAAAGGCTGTCCGAATGGAGGCAGGGAAGGAGGTACGATATAATGTCGGATGGATGAAAATGTTTTCACCTCGTGTGGCAAATAGCTGAGGATAATCTCTGAACTGTGTGTATACCCATGTATGGCTCTCCAGACCGACCACTCGTGGCTGCGTACCCAATTGGCCTAGTGACCATGGCATACTATGCCATGGAACCTCTACCTTAGCGACATTCAGAGCAACGGGTGTTGTTTCGCGTTGGTCATATCTCGAAATCTGGTTTAAATCATGGCCAGGCTGTGCTGTCTGTCCATCCGAGGGCAATGGAAGATAGGCGTACTGGCAGTTCTTGTTATTCCGCTGACACCTTGAGCAGATAGGTAGGGCTCTATCACACTTTCGGCGTGAAGTAAAACATGAATCGCACGATCGTCGTCGAAGCGACATGATTTTGTTAAGAGAAAGCTAGCTATTCCTGAAGGCGAGCGGGGTAAGAAGACTTCTCTCATATTATTAAGCGAGTTAGTGGCAACTACACACGTACATAGCTATAGCCAAATTACTATGCAAGCCTGTGAATATTGAAGAAAAATTGAAATGAAAAAAATATAGTCAATATGACACTATTCCAAACCTCCAAGCGCATAATCGCAATCTCTTAGTCTGCAAGATATTAGTCCTTTTCGGTAACATTTATTTTTATCTTCGCCCTATATTTTACAAAGTAGTTATAATATGTAGGGATATTAGTATCGTAAATATATAGCCTGGCTTCATACATGCAAGGGTTTATCTTCGTTTGGTTGAGTTCTATCACTACTCAAAATATTATGCATATAAATACATTCGCCATTGAATATATTATCAGGATTAACGCTACTCAATGCAACTCAAGAATGACAGTGGACACAGCGGAAATGAGACTCTTTCGAGCCTATAGACTTATCAAATAAAAATAGCGACATTTGGGAAGCCATGGGTTTCAAAGCCCTCAAACATCCAATGATTACTGGAGGACGCTTTAGTAAACGTTGGTTGATGCCTGCAAAAGATAAGTCACAACTTCGACATTTATTGAAACAAGCTCTCCGGTATTAATACAGAATAGTCAGTCGCAAAATCTGCTTTATCCAAATAATGATAAGATATCTGTACATAAATAATCTTGTGATAGAAATATGTTGTCAGATGAATAAAAAATAGCGACATTTTGGAAGCCTCGGACTCCGAAGCATTCAAACATCCAATGATGATAAAGGATGCTTTAGTAATCGTTGGTTGATGCCTGCGAAAGATAAGGAACACTTCAATATTTATAGGAACAAGCTCCCTGGTGTTTATACAGAATAATTTGCTGCACAATCTGCTTTATCCTCAAATAAGAATAACATATTAAGGCGCCGTCTATATAATAACAATTTCCGACTTTATTAACATGGCTACCGAAGCATTCACACTGGAAGAGCAAAGACCAATTCAACGAAGTCGCCTGCGCGTCTTCACCCTAGTCTCTGTTCTGTACGCTGCCTTATTCATATCTGCAGTCAACACAACCATCGTCACAACAGCGTTACCCACAATCGCAAAACACTTCCAATCCACATCTGGATATACCTGGGTAGGCGCCGCATATGTTCTTGCTGATACCGCCTCAGGTCCTGTCTGGACCAATTTCTCCGACATATGGGGTAGAAAGGTGGTTTTCCTAATAGCGGTGGCTCTTTTCATAGTCAGCTCTTTTGTGTGTGGCTTTTCGACGAGTATGGGGATGCTTATAACTGGAAGAGCACTACAGGGAGCTGCCGCCGGTGCTATTATGTTGCTTGTTAATATTGTCATTAGTGATATGTTCGATTTGAGGCGACGGACTCTGTATTTAGGTATTTGCGATGTTATATGGGCTATTTCTGGGGCCATTGGACCCGTGGTTGGAGGAGCTTTTGCCGAGTATGCGGGATGGAGATGGATTTGGTGAGTTGCTCTATTCTGTATCTGAAAGATTAACAGCTGAGCGTGAGTTAGGTACACAAATATTCCCATCGCTGCCGTGACATTTCTCGTCGTGTGGTTGTTCATGGACGTCCACAACCCACGGACTCCAATTTGGCGAGGCCTAAAAGCAGTCGATTGGCTAGGCAGCGCGTCATTACTGGCCGTGACGCTCATGACTCTTCTCGGACTCAACATAGGTGGCGAATATACGGACTGGAAATCACCAAAAGTTCTTGTCCTAATTATTGTTGGTCTCGCTCTTTCCGGTGTCTTTTACTTTGTGGAAGCCAAAGTAGCAAAGTATCCAGTCATGCCAGTCCAAGTTTTCAAAAACAGATCTAACGCGGCGGCAATTGCCATTGGCGCGTTCCACGCATTCGTAAGTCATATTTCATTTGCACTTTTGCATATTTGTTCTCAGCCGCTGACACATCCGCGTTGATAGGCAATGATGGGTCCAGAGTACTATCTCCCACTCTATTTTCAGTCAGCAAAGCTAGCGCAACCACTACAATCCGGTCTTCTAGGCCTTCCTTTTGTGTTCCTAGAAGGCTTGGGTGGCATTATCAGTGGGTTACTGATCCATTACACGGGTCGCTATAACGCTCTCCTTTGGATAGGCGCAGTCTTGATGACCCTGGGTTTTGGGCTGTTGATTGACTTGAAATCTTCAACTGGTCTTGCCAAGATCATGATATACCAGATTATTGGAGCACTAGGGTCTGGCCTCTTGATACAACCTCCTTTAGTTGCGATTCAAGCAAATGTATCGCAACAGGAGACCGCTACGGCCACTTCAACGCTGACATTCATGCGCGGCCTGGCACAGGCAGTATCCATCGTGATCGGTGGAGTCGTATTTCAGGGCTCCATGAACCTGAAGCAGTCGGATCTTGTAAATGCAGGACTGTCTCCAGATATGGTAGCGACGTTTTCGGGACAAGATGCGCAGGTGAACGTGGACCAACTTCAATCTATTGCAGACATCACCCAGCGGCAGGTGGTGCAGGCTTCGTACGCATGGAGCTTGGGAAATGCTTGGATTCTGTACGCATGCATTGCTGGGCTTACCATCATTGCGTCGTACTTTGTTGGAACACATTCTCTCTCTACAGAGCACGTCGAAACGAGAACAGGTCTTGACAAAAAGGAGAGTGAAATTTAAGACTGGTCTTCTGGTTAATGCCAAGCAACATCAGATGCACCATAACCTCATATAGCATATGATTAGCGGTGTCTTGTATAGTTTTTTTTTGGTTGTTTCAGATAAATTCAAAGCGGCAGGKTAAGGKTAGGGCTTTTTCTCAAACAAAGGAAACGAACAAAGGAAGAAAATCTCACAGATTTTTATATTCTTCAAAATCAGCACAGTATTTGCATTATATATAGAAGTATAGAATACAATCTCGTGGTCAGACACACTGATAGTCTTCATATTGTCAATATCCTGATTGCACAGCTCGTCGTATCTCCGGCTATCGTAAGCCCACCATGCCCAACTCAATATCGTCTAAACCAAGAGCAGTACCTTCGTCGGATAGATGTAGAACAAACTCTTTTCTCGCTCTACCTCTAGAAATTCGCAATATCATTTACAAACGCCTTCTCACCAGTTCACTTCCAATCTACATCTTTCGAGATAGCTCTGATTCGGACAATATCGAAAGCTTTATGCTTGACATCTCTCGAAGGAGACGTTCTTGGACAGCATTATTATGTGTCAATCGACAGGTATACATCGAAGCAAGAGCGATTCTGTATGGTGAAAACCAATTCGAACTCTTGGAAATTGATCCAAAACAGCCGGAAGCCCGTATCCCGTCGTTTCTGAGGTCATTTCTAGAGTGCATTGGACCCGTGAATGCGGCATCATTGTCATCTCTGTGTATGACATTTCCGGCTATTGAAGAACAGATTGGGTATGGGGTGGGCAGTAGTCAACCGACGAGGCGGATCAGGATTAGGGAAGACGGGCTGCAGAAGTTGCAGCTTCTTCAAAAGGAGTGTACCGGGCTGAGGGTAATCGATATGATCTATAAAGGTAGTGGTGTGATTGACACTGGAGCCGAAGCTATCCAAGAGGTATTGCAGGAAATCAATAGCCATCTACGAGCCATTCCTTCCCTATCTAGGATTGTTATTACAGTTCTTGATAGAACCCTGCGTCCTTCTGCGGGAGCGAGGGATGTTATGCAACAGCTCGGATGGATTGTCCTGCTCAACGGGCGACAGTCTACACCTTACTTTTCTACATCACTACAATCCTCGGCTAGAAATTATCAATATAAATGATGATATAAATCTCCCTAAAGCCTGCTATGCGTATACTATCTTGTTACTGTAATTCAGAGCTAACTGTATCCTTGGTGTATTCAAGCCAACTATAGATTATGCGATGATTAAATGTCCTAGGAAAAGAGATCCCCAAGCGAGTTTCAAGTTTGCCTCAACTCAAACCTTTTGCACATGTCTGCATGTGTTGTCTTTGCTGAGACTACCCTTAACATTCTCCAGAAGGCTACCATCAAGCATTCCCGATGCATCCGTAGCTCCAAAATGGCGTACTTTGACACCGTTATTAAATAACCAGTCGACCTGTTCCAGTGTCTTACCCTTACATTCAGGTACGCAAAAGTATATGAAGATCAGCGACAGCAAAGAGATGGCGCCAAAGATAAACCCAACTTTGCTACCGAGACCGACTTGACTTTTCAAGACGAGATAGGGAACGGAGAAATTGACGGCGAAACTAATGGTAAGTATCATTGTTAGCAAACATAGATTCAGTCTGTATACCTTCGTAGTAACTCACTTGAGACAGACATTGGTAGCAAACCCGGCTCGAGAGGTATGATCTCGTAGTCGGGGCGAAGTGATTTCAGTCACGACCACATAGGTCAGCGGACCCCAACCGCTTGAGAAAGCGGAAGAGAAGATGATGATTAAAGCAATTATGCCCTTTTCTCTTGTTACAGAGACCGGGTCATTAATGCCTAGGCCTGCCATAGCAAGAAGGGCGGCGGTCATACCGATGGATGAAAACATAAGCAACTTGCTAGTCGATTTGTTAGAGGAACAAGACTGTATATATCAGGACAAGGTGAACTTACCGTCTGCCCACTTTGTCGGAGAATAGTAACGTGGCAACAACTACACAGGATCCAATGATACTATTCATCAAGGTGAATAGTATTGGATTGAAAATTTTCAGTGTCCGCACATAGACACCGCCATATTGGGACGAGAAAGCTTGCCCGGTAGCCTGTTGAAAGAAATTCATTGCGATCACAATCAGAGTCCGCTTGAGATTCTTCCCCTGGAATAGCTCGATAAATCTACCCTGCTCTACTCCAGTTTCCAGGGCAAACTCAAGTTCTCTGTATTCATTGTTGATTTCTTCCTCTGTGAAGGCTCCTTGGCGAAGCTTTTGCAGACTCGCCTTTGCCTCGTTAGCCCTGTTGCGTTGAAGCAGCCATCTTGGAGATTCCGCGATGAAAAGGACCGAGGATGCAATAATGGTGGGGATAATGTAGAATAATCCTAACGGGATACGCCAGGATCGGTTGCCCTCGAGGTGACTGGTTCCGAAGCAAACCGCGTTGATGACGACGCCGCCCAAGTTGAGGCTAAGTTGATAGGTTCCTACTATCAAGCCGCGAACCGGTGCCGGAACTGGACATTTATGTTAGTCTATTTTGTAAGATTTCAGAAGATATGCCATTGCTTACCGATTTCGGATTGAAAGACAGGAATCACGGAGAGCTCTATGCCCACGTATACATAGTTGAGAATGCGAGCAACCATAATCTGATCCTTGGTGTTGGATGTGACAGCAATGGTAGCTGTGACGAGCGCATATACGCTCATGATGAACATGCATTTACGACGGCCGAATCGGGCAGAGATAAAACTGCCAACAACAACACCTAGGAACGAAGAGTTCGTCAGAAGAGTTTATGGTTTGACAAAAAAAGCCACTCACCAACGACGAATCCAATATAGTTCAAGCTGCTGAATAGTGATAACCAGACCGAGTTGAGCTCATAAGTGCCACTAGCTTTGTCATATTCTCCGAATTGTGTAGTAAAGGCATCCATAGCTTGGATGGTCGCAAAGGCTTGGTTGTCGAAGCCATAGTTGAATGTTGATACAGCAATGACGAGAACAGAGAGCAGAAGCGGCTGGTTGAAATACCGGGACGCATCAGATATGTTACCCATGACGCAGTGTCAAGTGTATCCTTGACTGTGAAAAAGAATAAGACTTTATGGAGCCAATGAGTAGAGTAGAATGGTTTCGACTGATATCAAAATCAGCACCAAGATAGGCGCGGAGGCCTTTCTAAGTAAATACCTTAGGCAGTCCAACCTGCATCGACCGGCCCCGGATGGAGACCCCAGCTGGTAAGTATGGCGCTTTGGGAAATCCGAGGGAAGCTAATTTTGCGTGATTCGAGTCTCGTAAAACTCTCAGGGTGCTTCACTCGAGATCTGGTTATCTCGGGGAAACGCCCGCTTTCCCTCGCATATTGAGGACCGGATACTATCCGCGCTCGGCGGTAATCATACTGTTGCTTTTCCTTCAAAAGAGAGAAATGGTCAATGCTTTGAGAAATTATAATTCAAAATTCATCTCACCATTAGATCGCAAAATGGCGTCTTATTCTCAACCTGCCAAGCCTCTCCCACTAAAGATCTCCTCGCCAAATGGCGGAGACCAACCGAACTATGTTATTTTCATGCCAGACCAGCTGAGATATGACTCCCTCGGCTGCACTACAGATGGCAAAGCCGGGATCAACACTCCGAACATCGACGCCTTCCGTCGTCGCGGTACCTTATACACCAACTGCTTTACTCAAGCCTCAGTCTGCTCACAATCAAGATGCAGCATGTTCACCGGTTGCTACCCGCACGTCAGCGGTCATCGCAGTCTCGAGAACCTCATTAAGCCGTGGGAGCCCAATATTTTCCGAAGCATGAAAGGGAATGGCTACCACATTGCCTGCTTGGCACCTAGAGGTGACACGTTTGCGCCAACAGTCACGGAACTCAGTGTGACCGAGTACGGGTTTTTAGAAACGCCTGAATTTATGCCGAAATTCGCGGGAGGGAGGAGCGATGAGAATGTCGACAAGGAGAATATTTGGAACAGGCTGTTTTATAAAGGCTTGCGCAACGCGAGTCAAGCTCTAGACTACGACGAGGCGGTCGTACGGTCTGCGTTGAAGTGGCTTGAGTGTCCGCCGGACGATAAGCCGTGGGTACTCTTCATGCCTCTTCTCTTCCCACACTGCCCTTTTCAAGTGGAAGAGCCCTATTTCTCAATGTACGACCGGGACAAAATGACCGCTGTCATCTCTAATCCAGAACAGAAAACAGGCTACGAGCCTCGATACATGCAGGCCATCCGAGAAAGATACGGTACTGGCCGCGCAACGGAGGCGATTTGGAGGGAAGTGAAAGCCACATACTTTGGAATGATCACTCGCTTGGATGATCAGTTTGGACGCATCTTGAATAAGATAGACGAACTTGGGATGTGGAAGGATACGGTCACCATGTTCTTTACTGATCATGGGGAGTACCTCGGAGACCACGGCTTAATTGAGAAGTGGCCATCGGGTCTATCTGAGACACTCGTGAGAGAGCCGTTGATCATCGGCGGTGCTGGACTACCCGAGAATAAGACCATCAATACCATGACGGAGATGGTCGATTTAGTACCCACCATGCTCGAATTGTCAGGCATCGGTGAACACTTTCCTCATAATGGCAAATCGTGGATTCCGATCCTTGTCGGTGATGCAACAGAGCATAAGGAGTATGCATTCTCAGAAGGAGGATTCTTGACGTCTGAGGAGCCCTTGCTTGAACAGGCGCCGTACCCATACGATATCAAAGCGGGCCTTCAGCACGAAGACACCACCATCGTCGGGAAAGCGATCTCTTTGAGAGATGAAAAGTATGCTTATATCTATCGTTTATACGAGCCCGCGGAGCTGTACGATCGCGTGTCTGATCCGCATGAGATGCATAATCTGGCCGCTGAACATACATACAGTGAGTTGGTAGCAAAATACGAGAGGGTAGTCCTTCGCTGGCTTGTAGATGGTAGCGATTTCCTGCCGTGGCAGAAAGACAATCGATTTCCGGAGGTGAATCTAAAGAGTCCAAAGCAGCAGATGGAAGAGCGTCTGAAACAGCGGGGTCAAGCTTAGTTATCGTATGTTACACCCGAATATATATCAATTTTTCGTCAACAATACTTGATAGCTATAGGAACAATATTTCTTAGGGCTGTAGATATAGACACCATGTCTAGAGAACTAGATAACTTTCGGGAAGTCCCACCCTTCGTTCAATTATACGAACAGAAAATCCAGCTCAGGATCATAATACCCATTAAGCTCCATATTAAACGGGTTCCATAGAGAGGCATCGGAAAACCCTTGCTCGAATTCCTCTTGTTGCTCCATCCCATGATTTGACTGATTCAAATTCATGCTAGGTGGCAAATATCTCGCTGCCTCGTTTTCTGCGTATTCTAACGAACTATCTGCTTGATATACAGCGGGCCGCTCAATAGACTCTTCTTCTTGGTTGTGACTGTTATAGATGTGAACCAGGACGGAATGTTGTGATGCCAGATGTTTTTGACCGCTAGCTTCCATTCCATCGTCGAGACTTGATGACGATGCAGTTCGCGTAATCGACTTCCGTCCCAGTGCGTCAATCAAACGCTCAGAATCCCTCAGACATCCGACCGCTTTAGTAAACACCCTCTCACAAGGCCTAGCCATTTCAAGCGCTTCAACGAGCTTCTCTTTTAGGGACACGATGCAATGATCGCCTTCTTCAGGCAACAGATGCTGCAGATGATGCAGTATTTGTGCAACTTGATAGATCGAGATAACCAAAAACTCACCGGCAAGGCATTCGCTGGACTCCAGGTGATAGAAATTGGACCATGCTTCACAAAATCGGATAGAAAAGTCGAGACATGTGCGCTGACAGAACTCGACAAAGTCAGGATGTGTCGAGGCCAAAGCTTCTTTAGATACGGACTCGCGAATACCGGGAACGCAGAAGCGGTAGAGGTCACAGTGGCACATCATCCATAGCGAATGCAGTCCAGCATAAATACTGGCTTCGCGAGAATGGCCCATAATCACTACTCTTTGAGGTGTGAGCCTGAACTCTGCTGGGAGGTTTCGCTCAAACATGTTGAGCTCAATCTGAAGTGCTTCCATCTCGGCCCTGCTTTCGGCTGGGCTGTTGCCTTGTCTTCGAACGTTTTTGGTATACCTGCCATTTGATTAGCTCGAATGTCGCCACATCAATATCATCCATCCATAGGCCGACCTCAAAATTTTATCTCGAATCGCAAGAAGCCTAAGCTTAAAAGCATGCGTATCCATATTGGCACTTGGATCAATATCATCGTCTTTCATAAATCCAGCTTTTGACGTAAGCCCCATCTCAAAACTCCGATCATCGCACGGAAGACGAACATGCATCTTCTCCACCGGACAAACCTGAAAATCCGCAATACCGCCTGAAAACAACCGATCTTGGTGATATATCGCCCAGATCAGCCGTCTATGCGATTCCTGCACGATAGGATCTAGTCTGTCGTGCTCATAATTCAATCGCAGAGTAAACGCCACACGCGCAGCAAGAGCAAGAATATTCCACGCGCCGCCGAAATCACCGGCGTGGAAGCAGAAGCGTGTTAACAACACGAGAATTCGAAGATGCGTGATTGTATGTCTCCCAATTCGTTGGAGGGTTTCATCTTGGACCTCTCGCATCCAGGCTCGAGCTATGGCCTGTGCTTCTGGTGGACCATTACTTAGGAAAAGCCCAAATGCGACGATACATTTAAGCAGATTGGTATCAAGGATGCCTCTGCTCCAATCTGCGAGGATGGTTGGCTTGTGGAGAAAGACAAAAGTTATCCTGCTCGTTGTATCAAAGTAGGCTTGAAGATAGTCCCTTGTCCTTGCCTTGTCCAGCGGCCAGACTAGTAGGCATGTAGAACTAGTTGATCTACTAGGTGGTGTCGGTACATTATGAACCGGACCATGGCCATCGCTCGTCTGGATTTCAGGCGTATTAAGCTCACAAAAAATCCGTTTAGAGACGCATCTCTCACAGGGCCCTGTACCAGAGCACTTGGCTTTAACAACCCGGCAACTTCTACACGCCTGTCGAGCTCGTTTCCGCTTCGTTCCGGCCTGCGTATAGTCCGCAGGATCATCCCCGATGTCTGGATGAGGGGTGACGGATTGTCTCTGGAACGAACAATCCAGTCGCAATCGCGTGCATGAGCCGCAGACTGGCTGAGCACGGTCGCATTTCACTTTACGAGAGCGGCAAGGGTTGCACACCGGCAGCATCTGAATGGATTGGTTATTGGTAGGAACATTATGTAAATCGTTACCGGGCATCACGGGCTTTGCTGCAGCATCTCTGGTGGGTGTAGTTATTGATGCCGGAAAATCGCTCACCTCGGCGGATAGGCCCGATTTATCGGCGGCAATTGAAATTACGATACGAAACAGTATTGTTACATGTATAAATTACTTGACATTCGGGCTCCGGTCCTTAAATCCAAGTTACTCCGTAGAGACAGCGCAATTGACGGGTAAAGTGAAGTTGCCACTGTCGAAATTCTCCTCATGGTTCCATGGTTGTGACTCAGTATATCAGGGGCTGAGGAGCTAATAGCGCCATAGCGGATCAGGTGTCAGTGACTTGCATAAGACAACATTACATTGTTCCAAGTCGTCGGTACCTACCCAGGCTGGTATTGTAAGAAGTGGTTGATTCTGGTCACAGAACTTATTAAAGCCTAGCTCATTAACAGTCCGATTATTCACTTAGAGTCAAAATCTCCAATCAACTGGCAAATACCCACATGGTCAACGATGGCATTGTATAATGTGGCATTGTGGACTGCGTGCCATAAGCGAACCCCAGGGATTAAGGTCATCCTAGGATTATAAAGCAGGTATCATCAAGATCTGGAAAGCCTGATGACGAAAGTGGATTCTATAGTAACGATGAGCTGATTTTTCCATCTCGCTTTACGCCTTTTGGAGCATAAAATCGGACACCATAAAAAGGCGTTGTGATTTTTTAGACACTAGTCTAACACCATCATTAGAATATTCCTTTTCTTCTTTTGATTCTCTTCATCCTTTATTCGCCTGGCCGCTGGGTCGTTAAGAAAAGATCATCAAGCTATTTGTATTGATACGTTCGCAATGCAGACAACCGTCGGTATCGCCGGAATATCGGGCAAACTTGCACAATGCCTCGTCAAAGAGCTACTCAAATATCCAGAAATCGTGATAAGAGGATATTGTCGAAGCCTGCAGAAGCTTCCTCCGTCAATCTCTCAATCAAAGAGGATCGTCCTCATAAAAGGGGGGTACGATGACCGGGAAAATGCCCGGAAATTTGTCCAGGGATCCGATGTGGTGGTCTGTTGCTATTATGGGGGTCCAGAGCTGATGACACATGGACAAGAAATATTGATCGACGCTTGTGAGGACGCAGGCGTAAACAGGTATATCGCGAGTGACTTTGCGGTTGACTACACCAAAATACCACGCGACGCTATCTTTCCGAAGAAGTCGGCTCAAATCGTGATGGAGTATCTCACGACTAAGAAAGTGTCAGGCGTGCACATTCTAACAGGTGGATTGATGGAGACATTCTGGAGCGATTTCTTTGGGCTTTATAACTCCGACAATCGTTCAATTTCATTCTGGGGCACAGGGGATGAGCAGTGGGATTTGACCACTTGCACGACTGCTGCAGCGTATACTGCCGCCTTGGCTCTTGACAGAAATGCCAAAGGGGTATTCCGATGTGAGTTGCTTGCACTCTTTTCAACCCCCCTGATCTGTTCTGTGATAGCTGACTTGGACAAAGTTCGGGGCGATCGCAAGAGCATCAAGGACATCAAGGGAATCTTTGAGACGGTCTATGGAATCCCACTTCATCTCAAGCAAAAAGGGTCTATAGATGAGCTATATCAAACCGTCGAGGAATCATTCAACATGAATCCGGAAGATATTTCAAGTTGGGCGCCCATGTAAGCCTTTGATATGAATTCGGCTCGTCTTTTACAGTGATTTGGACAATGCTAAACTAATTCCAGATGCTTTTCTTACTGGTGCATGAACTCGGAGGCTAGCCTCGGCGATAGGCTCGATTGCTACAGGTATCCAAGTGTCACGCCAGAGGACGTCGAAAGTTTTTTAAGAAGTCATACCTTGGAGATGCTTCATCGGGCCGATCAATCTTTTAATAGCTTAGGAAATTAATTGACAGAGAGCCCACATTAAGCCATCGATTGGAGGCGGAGGAGCACTGACCAGCACTTATACGGTATTGTTTTTAATACTCAAAGGAATGCAAAAAGCTACTGGATGATTCATTTCCCTATCGATGCAATCATTTGTTGACAAAAGTAAATTTGAATAGGGAAAGGGGAAATAAAAATCCTGCTAATCCATAGAGCTGTTCACTATTCAGCTGAGAACATATCTGCTGTAATGATTCTGGCTCTAGACGTATCCAAGCTGCATCTTTATTGATAAAGTCAATCAATATCGGATCTCTATTCATTACGTAACTCATCATTGAAACTACACATAACCATGGCTCCAACTTAGCTGGTCTCGTATGAGTTACTATAAGGCCTAATAAGAATACCTGCAGTTGGTAACCAGCAAGGTTTCCATGATGGTGGTCCCTAAGGCAAGCCCGATGACCCCTGGCACAAATTGAAGATGAGGACAAGAATAGACTTCATGGAGTTTGAATTAAACAGCGTGATTTTATCAAAAGAATTTTACGATGCACATAGCGCAAGCTTTCCAAATCAATTCCCCTCCTCTCTATTCCTTCCTCTCCCGAGGTGCAAGTCACTGGAGAAGCATATCACGCAAAGACAACGGTGTCTGAAAGCAAAGTATATCGCATGCACAGGACTCAATTGGCTTTCTCCGGTGATGCTCTACGCTCCTCAATGAGTTTTATTTCCCCAAAAGCAGATCTGATCTTCTCATGGCCGAGGGTCCGTTGATACCATTCGACAACCGCTGGATATCTAGCTCTCATCTGTCGGTCGATGATCTGATCGAATCCCCAATACAAAGCTGCAGCCACCGAAATATCTGCCAGAGTAGTGCTTTCCGAGCCAACATGTTGAGAAGTCGAAAGGTGTTTTTCCAGAATTGACAAAGATTTCTCCAAGCGCTGAAGAGCTTGGTCTTCAAGAACACGGTCGAATGCACCCATACCATACCGCCACATGATTAAGGTTGTTAATGGCTCGAAAAWTTCGTGGTCAGCGAAATGCACCCATTGACTGATCACAGCTCGTTGTCTCGCTGTGGCACCCAGTAACTTGGTTCCGGCTGGTCCACTTTCAGCAACATACTGCGCAATAGCGTCCGATTCAAAGAGTGCCAGGTTATCAGCACCGATGAAAGTAGGAACCTTTCCTAGAGGAAACTGTTCAAGGAATTCGGCTGATCGATTGGTTTTGAACATCACGAAATTAGGATCAAGGTCCACGGTAAGATCATTGAATGCAGCAACTGCTTGGATCTGGAAACACCTTAGTCAGTACACACTGAGGATTGTTTCTCACTCGTAAATCATACCTTCATCGCCCGCGGGTTGCGTGGGTAAGAGTATAGAGTTCCGAAAACCGTCATGTTGTATGTATTGAGAATTGCTTTCTAGCTAGGTTCAGTTCTTGTTTTTCTCTTCCTATTTGGCCATTTTAATTTGCAGTTCGGCACGGGCAAACTGGAAGTCACTGGGTTCATATACCCCCAGCCAGCAGATATTCTTGTGATATGACAAATCTCCGACTTCAGGCAAAAGAGGAAATGTCTTTGATCCAAGTTTGGATGGCGTTGATACAAGCTAAAACCCTCGCCACAGATCCATAATTGCTCTCAGACTGTGGGGCGTATTTGCAGGGACAGTCAAAACTCTATGCAATACACTGACAGGTATCCACAAAGGCAGGCCCCCGTCTTTCTGGCATTTGTAACGTGGGACTATGTGTGACATGTATTGTAAGTTCCAGTCGATGTCCAACATTGTTCCTGAACTACCGATTGCATACGACGGCCTAATCTGTACTTATCATGGGATAAGAGCCAACTCACACGCGCTTCATCTCGTCTAAAGTGCGAAGTATACAGGCATATAGGGAGGGATACCAGTATAGTATTTATCATTCAAGATGCCTCAATCTTCTTTTATACGTAGATTCCAGAATACAGGCAGATTGTTACAACTCTATAATAATCTTCTTTGCCGAAACACCGGACTTCTGCACTTCAAAAGCGCGCTGAATATCCTGGAGGCCACGTCCGGCACTGTACGGCTCCGGTTTTGGCTTTAGCTTTCCATTTTCCAAAGCTCGTGGCACAAATTCCCTCCAGATCCCTTGGCCGATGTGCGTATTTGGATCTTGCACAATGGAGAATGCAACGACTACGGTGCAGCGATTTTGTGGTTAGCTATGGGCAATGAGAGAATAAAGGTAGAGTTGATCCACGGAAAGAAAGCAAAATAAATATTAATGCACTTACCATACACTGGAGCGAATGTCTCCGTAGGCTTGTCATAAGGCAAGACACTTGAAACTTTGACGTGGCCTCCTAGAGTATTCACAATCTTGGCTATTGCCTCAAAGCTCTGGGGTTCGGCAATACTATCAAAGACACCAACGAATTTCGCATTGCGAAGAATGCTGACGATGTCTTCAATTACTGTTGGTGACTTATAATCTAGAATAGTATGGGCACCACAAGATCTGACGAAATCATGGTTCCGTGGTGAAGCAGTTGTGACGACAGTCAGTCCTGATGCAGCGGCAAGTTGGATAGCAACTGATCCGACAGAAGATGCACCTCCCCATACCAGAATCGTTTCGTTCCGTTGTTGAATATCTTCAGGTGATGGAAGTGGGAGTCCAAGGGTATCGTCTTGAAAAAGACCGGCTGAAGCAGTGGAAAGAGCAAGGGGCAATACTGCACCTTCCTGGAAACTCAAGGAATCGGGCAATTCTGCCGTAAGGTCTTCTATTGCTAGCGAATAGAGCTGGAATGCCGAATTGGCTGGGTTTCTAGTCATAAGGCCGGGGCAGTGTCTGTACCATATATCAGGGACTGGTCAAAGATACCTAGAGGTGATGAAAGAAAAAAACAAACAACAAAGCTAAAAAGTTTCCCAAGAGAGATTTCAAACTTACGCGATAACACGTTGGCCTTTTTTGAAGCGAGTAACCTCTGATCCGACTTCCTCTACCACACCAGCGGCATCTTCACCGAGAATAAAAGGATATGTACTAAGATAACGGCCGTGATCCCTAAAAGGTGAGTATCATGCTTTCAGGAAAAGGGCCAATCTTACTGGATCTTCCAGTCAACTGGATTCTGCGCCTGATGTTAGCCGAACAACTTGAATATAACAATCTTGATGATTTTTGACGTACAATGGCCACAGCAGCATTCTTTATCACAATGTCTCTTGGCCCGGGCTTCGGCATAGGCGCAGCACCAACAGTAAGTGGCTTCTCCCCAGCTGAATTGATCCAGGCAGCTTGATTGAGAGACATCATGTACAAGGAACGAGCAAAAACTTGGTCTCAGTATGTTTTATGGAAGAGTGGATGTGTAAAGGAACGATTTGGAGGAGCAGCAGTTCAGATCTTAAATATCACTGGATGACAAATATTCGCCAACTTGGCTAATATCCGGCCAAAATCCGCGAGGTCTCAAGATGATTACTGAGTCGAACTACGTAACATTTCTTGCATCAGTCAGTGAAAATGTGGGTCAATTCACCCATGGATCCGATATTAGGCTGTCCCAACTGGGCCGAAAGCTACACGCATACTAGATGATTTACTATAGGATAATATCACGAGTATGATCGTAATTTATACCGTGAGATTGGATAGAAAGTTTCCACATCCGATACAAACTCTCGGGAATTGTTCGATTCAAGTAACGATGAACATAGCGGGTTACTTATTTTTGCATATATAAAATGACTATTTTCCAGATTCACAGCCTAGAACTGTAACAACACTGCAAAAAAAGTCTCTTCGCACGAGTTAAACGTAAATCATCAAAATGCCAAACAATCGTGCTGCGTGGCTTCTTGCACCCCGACAGAGGCCCTTGGTTATCAACGAGGCACCGTTTTACAGGCCGAAAGCTGAAGAAGTGCTGATCAAGAATCATGCAATTGCTGTGGTATGTATCTTTATAGATGGAAATGACCGTGGGATGTGTTCTATGTGCTGAATTTGCTTAGAACCCAATCGACTGGAAGAACCAGTGAGAATCGTCTCAATTTGTCATTTGTTGCAATCCCAATTAATAGAAGCACAGACAAAATGGAGTTTATCGAAACATATATCCTTTTATTCTGGGCCGCAACTGTGCCGGCAAGGTGGAAGAAGTAGGTGAAGGAGTAACGCGGTTCTCAAAAGGACAACGAGTCATGGCGTAAGTTTTTCTCCTTTTCTTTGTCCTCCTAGTTGCAAAAATACAGCGTGATGAGGAATGTGGCCACTGTACTGATTTCTGACTTCTCGCTCTCTTCCAATTTCGCTACTTCAGACACATGCATAGTCCGCAAACTGGAAGCTATGCCAACTCCGCATTCCAATTGTATTCAGTAGCGTCAGAACGGCTTATGGCAAGGATCCCCGACACCGTCTCTTATGAGGAAGCCTCTGTCTTACCTCTCTCAGTCTCGACGGCGGCTGCCGGTCTTTACCTTCCTGAATATCTAGGATTGCCATGTCCCGCACCTGGTCCAAGGACATTACGTAGAACTATCCTCATATGGGGGGGTGCATCTTCTGTTGGAGCCACTGCAATTCAACTTGCTGCCGCTTCCGGATTGCGGATTGTTACTACTGCGTCTACCCCTAATCATGACTTTGTGCGATCACTGGGTGCGAGCGTGGTGTTTGATTACCGATCAGATTCTCTAGTCGAGGACCTCGTCAAAGAGCTCGATCGATGCGAGCTTGTCGGAGTTTTCGATGCTATTGCCGAGGAACAAAGCTTTATTCCTATAAAGACAACGATTGAGCATCTCCACCAGACCGTCAGGGTCGTCAGTGTACTACCCTACGATCATCCTACGGAGAAGTTCAATCCGAGATTTAGTACGTATACCAAACTATCTTTTGACTTTAAGAGAAGCTGAACGCGATGATCCTGGCAGTCTCTTCGTACGGAATTGCGTACCCTCCGAATCAGGGAATTGGTGAATTGATTTGGGGAGAATTTGTGACCGAAGGTCTGGCTAGTGGACAGCTTCAAGCTAAGCCCGACCCAGTCATTGTTGGGTCGGGACTGGAACAGTTGCAAAAGGCTCTTGATCTGCAAAAGGCTGGTGTCTCTGCGAAAAAACTTGTAATTACATTATAGGCATGGGTTTCAGTAGGGCTCTGCGTGGCTGGAAGAACTAAATTAGCTTAGCACATAACTTACAATCAATACTACTACGTAGTGAACCCACTGCTTAGGGTTTTGGCTGTCAGTCACTTGCATTAGCGTCAATTGGATCAGTGACCGGAGCCAATCAGGAGGAGCAAATCAAGACCTTATTTATCCACTTCGAAAAACGGACGAGCATGGAGCATGAGGCAATTTGCCAATTCTCATGGTGATACCGGCATTACAAATGCATTTTCATATTATTATATCCGAGATAGCCGTATAATTTGCTGCAAACCAGAGTGGCTTTATTTCATCCGTGCAGGAATGGTGGTTCCGGTACTGAGGGATATCAGGGAGTTGCATTAGTTTGGCTTCAGCAACGACATGAACGTACGAAGGCGGCGGCCGTGAAGAAGGAAAACATCTACCATGGGTTAATCCAACTAGTACTTATTTCTTTCGTAGTTTCTAATTTATATGGTACCCATGGCTCCTCATGTCTGGTTGATCATGTGCTTGTCAAGAAACTCTACTCGAACTCCACGCCACCACTTCATGCGGCCCGTCTATTCAATATGCCTACCATTCGAGATTAAACTATTCTTATCATCGGCGGCAGCTCTGGGATAGGTTACGGTGTTGCGGAGAAGTGCATTTCTGAGGGGCCCAGAGTTCACATTGCTTCTTCCAGCGAAACCAGAGTCCAATCAAGCGTCAAAGAATTAAGGGAGAAATGCATGGTTTCTACAGTATCTGGTCATGTCTGCGATTTGTCCCATTCAGATGTGGAAAAGCACCTTGAGCAATTACTTAGCGCCGTCGCGCCAATCGATCATATCGTTTTCACTGCTGGTAACAGCCTTCCAACTACCCTCTTGAAAGATATAGATTTAGAAACGATACACCGAGCTGGTCATATCCGTTTTGCAGTGCCTCTTTTACTTGCCAAGGTCGCACCCCGATTTCTCAAACCGGGCTATCGATCGTCGATTACATTAACCGCGGGATCTAGTTCACAGAAGCCATTTCCTGGCTGGTCGTTGATTGCGGGTTATTTGACGGGCTTGCATGGACTTACCCGGAACTTGGCCCTGGACCTCAAACCGCTTCGAATTAACCTAGTGAGTCTTGGGGTGGTCGCAACTCCATTATGGGGGCAGCACGGAGTACCCGACGAAATCAAAGACCACACGACGCTGAATAAAGTCGACGCACCGGAAGAAGTCGCAGAAGCCTACATTTATCTAATGAAGGACACCAATGCTACAGGAAGTTGTGTGAGTACCAATGCAGGTTCGCTTTTCCTTGCTCTGAGATCATTGGAGTTGGTTCTTAAGTAGGCATCAAAATAGGAGTCAAAGGGCCCAATCTCCAGCTCTTTTGCCGCTTAATCATCAAAAGCATAGCGTTATATATATCCTGGAGTTAATACATGTATAGATGTATGTGTGTTAATTGACAGGAAAAATCTAGATACACAGAATATACAGAGTATTTAGACATAAAGTAAATTACTGCCAAACCATCACTGACGTCAAGACGTTGTCGCCACGGATTACTAATTGCGTAACGGAATGCAGAACCTCACAGACATCTTCGTGTCTATCATGTTCATCATACGATGATATGCGTCAGAAAGAGAACTAAGCATGTTGCAAAATATAACTGATGTCTACTCGGAAAATTCCTCTGCTACTCATGCCTCAGCAGTTGCAGGCGGGCGGCAGGGATGATTGGACCGGTATAGTTGATCGCAAGGAGAGGAAGAAATTACAAGATCGAATCAATCAAAGGGCTAGACGTATGTCGTTCCACCCGCTTTTATGGCGTTAGTATCGCTAACATGCAGCCTCGGCTCCTGCGAGCGAATGCGAAAAAAATAAAGGATGGCGAGAAAGAACTAGATTCCCACACGTTGCTAAACAAGGAAGCTCAACACGCGGCAACACAGAAGAAAACTTGCAGCTCGACCTCGACCACGGCCTCGACCTAGTCCGGCAGAACCCATTCTCGCCGAACAGCCTACAAAATGAGTTAGCCTTCTTTACGGCTTKTCAACCTGACTCGGAGGAGACGCGTCAGTTTATTCAACGGTTCTCAACATGGATGGCGCAGCGCTATTTGCAGGAATGTCTCAACACAGAGCCACTCCTAGGTCTAGTCCAATTTAACGTTACACGATCACTGGTTGCCAATGCACAGATTCTCGGATATACATCTCAGCTTATGGCGCGGAGCGCTCAGTCTCCTTTTACAGCACTGGATTATACCGACCAAAATATCCTCCAAAGCTTGCCAGCAGGTCTACGGCCCACTGTTCTTCAATGTACCGTTCCTCATCATCCATGGATTGACCTCTTGCCAGTGAGCGAACTTCGAGATAATCTTTTGCGTCGTAGTGAGGATACATACGATGCAGCGGAGCTCTGTCGCGATTTGCGAGGCTTCCAGCTCGTAAGATGTGGGCGCGGTGGTGTGGTAGTATGGGGGGATCCGTGGGATCCGCAAGGATGGGAGGTGACGGATGCATTTGCGAAGAAGTGGTCTTGGGTAGTAAATGGCAGTCGTAGCTTGCGGGAGTCCACAAGCTACTGGCGCGAAAAACGTGGCGAATCTGATCTCTGCTTCCCAGGCTGTTCGACAGCTCACTCGCGTGTGACTGAGATGGAGGAGGACTTGGATCTTGCGTCTTTTTAATGAGAATCTTTTGACTCTCGACTCAATGAGTGAGCAAATTCAGAAACGTTGCGTCGTTTCATTCAATCGATATTGACGATGACCTTGGTCTTACTCAAGTATTTCATTGATATCAACCTCTTGCGCTGTTGATCCACTTCACCAGTAAGTACTGACTACAGATTTCCTATTCAAGCAAAACCCACAATATACAGGTATTATGTTTTTCCAGTTAGTGGCATGCATTAGTGGACCCTACCCAGCAGAATGGCACGCACTCAATATCCATTTCTGGCCCAATGCGGGAGATATTCAGGCTTTTATAAATGAATTTCACCGACAAATTCAAGGAATCAGGTCATGATGTGTCATGTACTTATTTTGTTCTATTACCTTATCTAGGAATAGAATCTCTTTTGAGACTAAAGCAATCCACGCAAGGTTGGATAGTCTGCGTATACTGAGGGTAAGGATATCCGAAGAGTGTCTTAGTTATAAAGAACACGCACAGTATCAATATTATTAGGGACGATCGTTAGAGAACTGCGTCAGATCGGGATGTGATACCAGGACAGAACAGGAAAGAGCTCATCAGTCATATGATCTTTCGAGCGGCGATCTGAATATCAGAACAGCGATATGATCATCATCTATATAAGCAGTTACTTACTACCACCATGTATAGCAACTCGTGTCTTATTTTAGTCAGAACGCAGATTATACAGAACAGCGACCTTATTGGTTTCTCAACTACTTCTGTCCATAACCGTCTGGTTATACAGCCGTATCTATACGTCTCTTATCCATCTTTCCCACTCGTTAGCAAAATACCAGTAGTGTATCGCACTCAGTGACTATCTTTGCTTTATTTCTGACATTTTTTTGGATGTCCGATCAATTTATGCGTCTAAACACCAATTATTTATTTGAAAGTTCAATGATTATATCGGTACGGATGACTGAATTAGAGATGATCTGAACGCTATCATGTGATTTACTGCATTTTCACATAAGTGATGTCTAAATCGGATGAGAACCTGGATTTGGATTGGTACACAGGTGTAAAGATGAAAACTTGCGTATTCTTCTGTTGTGCTGTAGCCGCGTCGAGACGTGCATCTTGCGGAATGAGGTTTTCACCCATCAAGGGGGTTGTCACAGCACTCTCCTCCCTTGCACAGCAATTTAAGAGAAGACTATAAATACAGGCAATAATTTGGAATATAAAGTAGACAATACTTTCTCAACAATAACCATTTACATACTGCATTCTGTTATTATCCTCAAACCAAAGAGCTATCTTATATATTTGCATTACTTCGAAGCAAGGCAAGATATTGACCCACTATGTCGTGGCTAGACAACCTCTGAAGATGGGACAGTGGAGTATGAAGGTTGTATTACTTACAGTGATTCTGAAAGCCAAGGATGCTCGGTGTCGAACTACGATTACAGTCAAGTACGTTCACAATTCGCTCATAAAGGATGGTTCTAATGAGACTTTTATAAACAGGCCTACCCTCAGTGCTGCCCGCAACTTTCGTGTCCCTCTGACGGTACATAGGTCAATGGTAAGCTAGGCTCCAGAACATGTTTTTCTTTTGCCATGGTTAGAAACTAACCTCTTAGAAAAGTAATGAGTTCTATGCTGGCTGAGAGGAAATATCATGTAACCATGGCATATGTTTGGTAACTTCCTTATTAGATCACTACCACATTTACGAGCGCTCAATGTTCTGTCTAGCCAGTAATTTTGAACAATATATCTTTCGACTACCAATAAATTTCAAGATACTTAAAGTTATCTATCTAGGTTCAAATGATTATGTAGTGAGTGTCAACTTAATTAGCTTGATATAGTTATACATGCAACTGTAGGGATATCATAAGAGGCTAGTACCTAGAAGTACAGATTTGACGAGGAAATTTGCGCCGGTTTCCAGAAGCGACGACTTGGGGAATGTAATACGTACAATTTTATACCACGTGGAGACGCTTCCACTAGCGGGAGATCCTCCGGCAACTTGAAAGTGAATTGATAACTTTAATAGTGCCACCGACGTGCGTACCAGTTGAATGCTGTGTTGTAAATACAGCTTCTGTATGATCTAACCATGTTCTGTTAGGTTCTGATCAAAGATTTCGTAGCGTCGATAAACTGGCAAGTGAATTTTTAAGTGATATTGAGAGGTTTTACTAGAAGAAGTTTCAGTAGCACCATAACCCCCCTTTCGGTATTACTTATATTAATGATGATAAATACACCTTTCGCTCTGGTACCGCCTACTCCAACATCTCCGATTCCATTTCATAACTTTTGTCAAGGATACCCAGATTGGAAGCCTATAAGTCTTCGTGTTTGAGCTTGGCATGACTACTACTAAGATTTATCAGCGTTTGTAGTTGTGGAAATTTATACTCCGTGATGCGACTGATCTAAAAAGGAGAAGAAAACTAACCTGTTGCGATTGCATTTGCAGCATTTATGGCCGTTGAACGTGTGATCCGGAAGACAGCAGCATTCAGTACAGTCGACAGGACAGTCGCTAGGTTGACAGTCGGTTTTCGTACAGGCGACCATACTGCTACTACGGTCAAAAGGAATCTCGTTTTCCGCGTCGCTCCCACCTGACTTCAATTCTTTCGAAAATGGTGAAGCAAACCGAAACGGACTAAAGTAGAAGGCTACCAAGCAGACAAGAAGAAATGTCAGACCAACCCGAAGCATATTTTTCTGTTTCAATCGAATGAAAGGAAGAATGATAGCAATACAGCAAACAAAAGAGGCACAATGACTTCCAGATTGCGTACGATGCGTTGATATCAATATGATAACTATTATCTATGTAAACGGTGCAAATGCCCTCTTAAATATTATCGAATTTTGGATTATACAGTACAATTCATACTCGTAGAAGTCTCCAGCCACGTTCCGCTTTAGTATTAAATTGAAGAAGTCAATCTGAAACCAGTGATTATCAAGAAAAATAGTCTGTGGTTTTTCTCAATATGGTTTCCTTCTTTGACCAAATTCATCATGTTTGATTTTTCTTATTCGCCTGTTTATGTTACAGTACGAGGTCCGTAGTCTAAGTATAATCCCTCTAATGTATGTCACAATTGGCTTTTTATTACTGATTATAAGATTTCCTTTAAGTTCCCTCTCACACTAAATATGGATTTCAAGAGCCCCCAGTTGGCTGCGGGATTAAAATGATGGATGTTACTACCATCTCCATCTCCACTATGGTATATTGGAACATAAGTATTCTTCGTATCTAGTTACAAAACTAAATAAAGTACATGTTTTCCGACAAGCATGATAGCCAAACTCATCACGGAATGTATTGGATGTGCTGTCCAATGCAAGGGGCCTCGTAGGCCTCACTGGAGAATCCTACAAATCTCGCGCTTTGCCCGGGCAAATTTATTTTAAGCCGTAGCATGCGGCAACTATTTCTCATGCTAATAGTTTCTCCATTTATGCGGACAGTGAGGAATGAAGTCTAGGCCAATTTGAGGAATTTGAGCCTCAGTTGCCGGCACAGCCTGCCTGCCTCCGTTGGAATCTCATGCGCTTCATCTTTTGGCAATGATATATAGTGTCCTGTAAGATAAACCTCCATAGCTGAGAGCATGTTTTCGACACTACAGAGTTCATGTTCTGTTCGCAGTTCTCCTGAAAACGGCGGATCCTCAGACAGCTTTTCGAAGGCTCACAAGACTGCTTTATACAACTTTTTTGTCCATTTGAGAAACACAATATGCTCTCAAATGCACATGCTCTAAAGGGTAGTTCCCTTGACAAAGGGAAAAATCCTAAATCACCGGAAAATGAATCTGCATTGTGGGCAGTCTCAAAAAAGCATTTTAGCACTCGCAACCTTTGCATCCTGGCACTCTTTTCAGGATGGAGCTCATCAATTCTCTGCGTAGTAATCGGTGTTTACATGATCTATGCTCAATTGCCATTGGATCCCACTTTCAAAGGGAAATCTCTCGAGATTGGAACCAGCATCTTTTGCTTTACTGCAGGCTTGGAAGGAAATGGTGAATATAACCGCCGCGGGCATCGGATCTACAAGATGTCAAAAGGCGTACAGCTATTGGTTACGCTAGGCTTGAGTACTGCGGTCAATGTTCTTCTCGATTGTCTTGGTTATATCCATGCAACTACGCTGAGATGGGCTCTTATACGGGAAAGTCGACTGAAGAGAAATTCAAATCTTCGACTGTTTTCGTGCTCAAAGTCTTCTTTTCCTAATAAATGGCATATGAACGCTGTTTATCTACTTGGTTTCATAATAACTTTTGGAGCTATGACATCAGTTACGTTGGACGCACAAGTGACCGGAGGCTGTACCGCGGAAAAAGCGTACAAAGATGAGTTTACAACTTATTCAACTACCAGCTATCCGAACGCACTAGACTTTAACGGGATAGGAATCACCGCATTGGGGATTGGTATTCTACTCCAGACTCTTGTGTCTACCTGTGCTATCAGTAAAAGTGACTTAGTTGCGACCTGGAGCTCAGATCTTTTGACAAACGCCAAAGCCTACCAGGGCTCTCATACCTTCGAAAATTTGCCTACATCTTTACACCGCTCAAATCACTCAAATCTCTCACGCAGTGAAAGTGAATTTACAATGCCTGTATCCAGTAAAAATGCTGAATCAACTTCAGGAACAAGGGATATTGCGCCTCCATCTACACATCCCAGAATACCATCTCCATTGACGCGCAATATTTGTCAAATTTCCCCTTCATTCCCCCAGGAAAGTCAGCCGTCCATGCTTTCAATACTGCCTAATGTCTGCCGCATTCGATTTATCATATGGGCATATCTTGGGGTCTTTGTAATATGGTCAGCTACACTGGCAGCTATCGACTACAAAGGTGGTAGCTTGATAACAACGGGCTGGAGTAGTCCTGTAGACCAGTGGAAAAACTTTGGGCAACAATATTTCTTCTACACTGATGGCTACGATCATCTTCTGCAGGACTTCATAGGTCTTATT